TTTTCATCAATACAAGCTTATTGTTCGATAATGTAGAATATAACCAAGCTTACTTTAATGAAGAAAATTGCAAGGAAGACAAAATTTTTTTGGCTCAAGAAATATTTATTTTATTCAAAAATTTGTTTTTTTGATTTAGAAAAAAAAATTTTAGGTAGACAACTTGTGAATTTACATCCAAAAATTTTTTTTTCCAAATCAAAAAAACAAATTTTAATTTTTTCTATTAAGAAATAAAATTGTTGAAAATTTTAAATAAATTAATTTTTTATTACATCATTATTAATTTTTTGCTTTAATGTAGAGATAAGCCAATTTAAAATAAAATTGAATATTATCTAACGAGGAATTAAAAATTTATGATAAAAATGGAAGTCAGTGTGATGGTGGTATGCTGAGATTGTCCGATTCCGATTTAACGGGACGTCGAGGAGAACTTTGTTGAGAGCGAGAGGGTGAATCCACCGTGAGCAGTTGCTATGGCAACTTGATATTGCCGGTGGTATGGAAAGAGAAAAAACAAGGAGAAGAAGAAGAATAAGTACAGAGAGACATAAGGAGAGAGAAAGAAGATGAGGATGAGGTAGAAAGAGCTTTCTCATTCTATAGACACAAGACAAAGTCGAGTGGAGCTTTTATATTCTCGAGTAGGATATCGAAGCACGAGTCGAGCGGAAATTCAACGTCAAAGAAAATAAATTTCCCGATCTTGTGCATCAAAGCTCCTTGACTCAATTACCCGTCATGCTGGACGGATATCTAAAAAAGAAGAAGAAGAAGAAGAAGAAGAAGAAGAAGAAAGAAAACGAGAGCAAGAATAAGTGGAGTAAGGATTCGATTATCGATATTCTCAAAGACTTCACTTACTGTCTGCATTTGGAACCCCTTTCGGTGAGACTCTGTAATCAGCTAAAGAAAAATAACTTTGTGAATTATTTTTTTTTATCTTTTATTATTTCTTCTTATTCTTGTTTTAGTTGAGCCGGTCCAAGTTCGGAGAAACTCCTGGACGGAAATTAAACTCCTCAGAAACAAAACTTTGGTAATGAAAGCGCTGTCGAGTGTTTACTCGGTGTATTTGCTGAGAGTCAACCGTGCTACGAATCCGATGGGATAATGTCGGAACCAGGAGTGAGGAAGAAAAAAAAGATAAAGACTCTGCTATATAAAACATTCCCTGTTTAACTTTGTGGCTGTGTATAAATGAAAGGGAAAAATAGAAGAGAAGAAAGATAAAGAAGAAAAAGGAATAGTTTTTTCATCCCAGCGGTCCTCGGGCGATTAATCCGTCACGGAAAATAATCATCTTGAATTTCCGACATTGAGGGATAATAAAAGGCAAAATAGTTGGACAAACGCGTGGAACAAATTACTGAATTCACCATGTTCTCCGTTGTCAGCTTTCTGGCTTCTCTATACTACTATATCTCGGGATTCCCGTCGACAAGTCACCCAAAGGGCGCTCATAAAACCGAACGTTATTCTTCCGCAACTGGGCCGTTCCTGTGACCGGAAACCGGTGACTGTTATATCCCTTCCTTGGTTCAAGGCTTGACTCATGTTTTTACGGCACATTTATATTCTTTTTTTTATTCATCCCTTAGTTTTATTTTTATTTCTACTTTTTTCTTTTAATATTCTTCCTTTTTCTAGACCATTATTTTAATTACAATATATGTTTAACAGTGTAATTAATTAAGAAGATAATTGCTCTAATATTTAGAGATAAAACAAATTTTTTTTTTTTACTTTGACAATATAAAATATAAAAATTGTACGTCAGTTAGTTTAAAATTTTTTAATAATTCTTTTAAATTATTAACAAAAAATTTTGTCAATTTTTAAATACCTGCCGAGAATTTTTTTTAATAATTAATTCATTAAAAATATAAATATGATTTTTTACTGCTTCTTTACGACGCAATCACAGTCAGGGAATTTCGAAGAAAAAAAAATATTTTTTTTTTATCACAATAGAGCACACCCGGCCACTCGGGACAAATTACCCATCGATCGGATAATTGCATCCTCTCTTTTTTCCAAGCGATGAGCTGAACACGAACGAAAAGCACCCCCGGGAAATGGTGAAGCGACCTCGCGTAGAGCGGTGTATATATACATATATGTGTATTCCCCGATGGGGGTTCGTTATGTAGGATCCACTGGTGCAAGCTATACTTTTGCGCGGTCGATGCAGCCACATCGTCGGTATAATTGAATATACACAACCCTTGTGTTATATGGATAGGTAGATATAGACATAAATATAGTTATAGATATAGGTATGTTGAGTAGTTTAGTGGACGTTACTCTGGCCCTCGGGTTTTACTTTCACAGGCTTTTTCATGTTCACTGCTTTGTGTCCCGCAGTGGTGGCAGCGGAGGTGCTTTTTCAGTGACACTGTGGATTTAATGAGTGCGCATGTTTTTGCGGGCACAAAAAGCCGCGCTCTGCTGCATTTCATTTCATTATATTTCATGCTAAATTTATTCTCTTTCGTTCTTTTCCTCAATGCTGTCTGATTATAAGAACAACCGAAACGACGACTCAATTATCACCCTCTAGATATTAATCACTTGTACAATTATCCAACATCGTTAAAGAAATAAAATCTGAGGTTGTATAAAAAATGATAATGGAAAATTTACAGGTCGATTTAGCTAACAATTCATTTTTAAATTGACTCGTTTTTATGTGAAGTTCTTTATGTAATTTTTATAATTGTAATAGGATTTATTGATTATAAATAAAAGTTTTTTTTTTTTTTTTTTTTTTTTTTTTTTTTTTTTAAATCAAGTTAATTTTTTTTAGTGTATATAGATTAAATATTAAAGATGAAAAAAAATTATTTCTTATATAAGTTTTATCCTCTATAAAAAATCTTTATAAATTTCATATTATCTTTTATGTTTCAAATAGAATCAAAATTTTGACTGACAAAATATAAATTTTTGTGTTTAAAATTTTTTTCAAGTCTTTAAATATTTTATTTCATGTCAGAAATGAACAATTAACGTTTCGATCATATTTCAAAAATTATTGGTCGAACGAAGATAAAAAAAACAGAATTGTAGCTTTTTTTAAGCTCCACTTTTTACTTGTTGACACTATAAAATCATCAAAACGATAGATTCTAAGAAAAAAATTTTTCAATTTGCATTTTTATATCTTTTATAATTTATAAACCATTTGAGAGCGGCCTTTAGTTCTCTATAAAGAAAATTATCGAGTTTCTCTATAAAAGGTAAAATGTAAAAAAGATTTATTTGAACTGAAAAAATTAATGAGAAAGGTAAAAATAGTTGTGAAGCAAGAAAATTTTTTTTTCTACTGAAAAATTTATTTTTTCTGTAAAAGATATTGATGCTTAAAATAAAAAACTCAATAAACTTTTATCAATATACTTATGGATGAAAAATAAAATAAAAAAAAACACTTAGATAAACTTGCGATAATGATGATTGAATATTAAAAATAGCTGAATAAATTTCCTACTCGAGTTAAATATTGACAATTTAGTACACTGTGTAAATATAAGCCAACATCAGCCCCGGTATTGTTGGGGATTAATCCCTGTGAGAGTATCTCAGTTGGCGTAAACACTAAATTCAGTAAAGTTATTTATCCTCCGGCAGCATTCACATCCTGGTTTTTTATTTATTTATTTAGCAGTTGAGTCAAAAATAAAACAAGTAGAATAAGAAAAAAAATGAGTGAGCATCTTTCTCGAATCCGCGTGTTATGAGACAGCGCAGTAAGTGCGGAAGCTTATAAAATAAAAAATAGAAGAGAAAAATAGTGAGGGTGTGAGTGTAAAAACAGAGTTAGGAGTAATCCAACGGTGGTGAAAACGAGAGGGTGTCAGCGAGATGGTCCAAGAGACTAGAGACCAGTTTTCGCCTTCTATATTTCTTTCTCCGTCTATTTCTCCGGTGGTCGTGACAAGGGGTTGCCATGGTTACCGACTGTAAGCCGCTTAGAACTCACCCCACGGATCCACGGCCCCTCTGGCAAATCGGCAAATGCAGTCACTCCTTCGGGCGAGAGGGAGTCAACCTCCCTTTCCCTTTCTCACTACAGCTAACAACCTCTCGTCTTTTGCGGCTAACCCACTCTTTGCTTTTATTTTTCTTTCCACCAATCTTTTCACTTTTTCAAGCCCGTCATTCTCGCCTTGAGTGACGGAAATCATTTTTCTGCAAACTCGATACCGACAACCAAATAATACGCTTATTTTTATCGTTATAGAATTATTACTTCCTTTTTTTTTTTTTTTTTTTTTAAATAATTTACACAGCAAGAGGAGAGAATAAATGGAGTAGAGAAGAATATTCTTCGGAAAACTTGAATATAATATTTTTTTTACTTCGATACGAAGTTGATAAAATGATTTTATTTTTCAAGTTCATTAAAATTTAAGATTTGTTAATTTTTCCAAAAAGAAATTTTTTGAAAAATTAAATTATTTTCAGTTTTCAATTTTTACTTCAAAATTGTTAATTTTTTTAAACAAATTTTTGTTTTTTTTTTTTTTTTTTTTATGTAAATTACGGAAAAACTAACAAAAAATTAACTTGATTAAATAAAAAAAATTTTAAACCGAGAATGTCATTTAGGAGAATTAAATCTTGAAAAAAAAATTATGTGATCATAAAACTAAACATTTACCCAAATTGGTACCTATATTTTAAATATTTGAAAAAATTGATTTTTTTTTTTTCTAAATACATATGTAAGAAATTATATTTTTACATAAAATTTTTCACTTGAAAATTTTAATTTTATAAATGAATTTTTGTTCTAATTAAGCAAATTAATTATAATATAAAAAAAACTTTTTTTTTTTATTTTAAAAAATATACATACAAAATTGATGAAGTTATTTAATAAATAGTATTAGAATAAAAATGACCATCTTGATAAAAAAAAATGATAAATTTTTTATCACTACCTGTAGAATAAACATCTGTATAATTAATAATGTTCTCATGAATAAAAATTGAATCTACTTACAGGTCTTCAACCGGCGAGTACAAAAGCGCAGTCGAGCACAATTGGGAAATCCCACCGACCAAGTTCCGGCGTATTACCTCAAGGTCACACCCCAGGACCGGGACCGGGTCCAGGTGGCCAGCAGAACAGCAGGAGTTTCGCTGCTGCTTTGAGAAATCTTGCCAAGCAGGCAGGACCGGCTCCTCAAGACGAGGAACCGCGGGCCAGTCCGAAGAACCGAGCGCCGCCGCCTCTTGTTCGAGGACCCTCGCCGGCGAAGGTTAGTTTTCAAGTTACAATTCAAGTCGCACGATCTTTTGAGCTAAGACCTTTGATCTGTCAACGACCGGGGAATAATAAACTCCTCGTCCCATTTCTCGATTCCGGTTTTCGTTCCGGTAACGCCTTTTAACTTCCGCCGCAAACAAAGTTGTTCTCTTTATTTTGCAAATTCTCGGCTTCCAAATCTGGTTTTTGCGGTTCAAAGGTCCTCAAGAGTAGTACTGCCAAAAAAAATTGTTTTATAGAACGTTTACTCAACCGTTTTTGATATTTATTGCTGTTTCGTTAACTGGAAGCACCCTAATTATTTATACATGAAAAAATATTGTTATTATTCTTAATTTTTTAAAGGTAAATGTTAAATGTGTATGGCCAACTCACAATTCAAATTTTCACTTTAGAAACTTTAATATTTTGTTATGATATTTTGGCATGGATGATTGGCTCTCTTATAAAGAAAAAAAATTCTTTATAATTCACCAATAGAGAAATAGAAAAATACAATAAACTTCTTACAAAAATTAAAGGAGCAAAAAAAATATATAATTTTTTTTGCTCCCTTGATTTTTGTGAGAAGTGTATTAAAAGAAACTAAGCCGTTACAAAAACTTACATTAGTCTAACTCAAACTTAATTTTATTAGATTGTAAGTTAATTGAATTTTATAAATATTGACGATAGAAAATAATTCTAAATATTATTTATAATTTCAGGAGCGGTCGACACACGAACGGCGACCCGAGGAAATACCCTCAATGTACACAAATGCACGACCAGCCGAGAACAGTAAGCACAGTGTTACTGCAGCAGCTTCCGAATTACTAGCTCGTTCCGGTTTCCAACCCTATCGGCCTGAGCATCATCCGACACAACAACCGCCGGCATTTACTCTCGATCCTGCGGCTTATAGCCCATATCATCATAGTCTATACCCACCACCTCATCTACAACACGCTTATAGGTAAATTTACACCCTGAAAAAACTAAAATTCGAGTTTTAAAATTGAAACTTTTTAAAAGGGATTTACGCACTTAGAACGGCTCAAGAAATTTACTTTTTTATTATTTCGAGTTTCCTATATAAATATGTTAGTTTATCATGTTTTAAGAAGCTCTCTTTAAAGATTGGCTCAATGGAAAATTTTTTAGGGTTCACTCAAGATTTTAAAAAAATTTCAAATTTTTTGATTCAGAAAAGTTAGAGAAAAATTAAAGGTAACTTTTAGATTGTATCTAATTGTTGTTGGAAATTAAAAATAAAAAAAAAAAGTTAAGAAAGTAAAGATTTCGATGATTGAAGCTTAAAATATTGTAGCAATCACACCTTTTCTTTCAAAGTGCCTCTTAAAAATCGTCTACAGTAGCTGGAAAAATTAGTATTTATAAGAAACAAAATTTTATTAATAAAGTTATGTCACTATGACATCCATATTTATATCAATTAATTCAAAAGCCTCTGTAAAAAAAAAAGTTACAAAATTTAATTTTTTTCGACTTTTTAAGTGCGTACAACCCCTCATATATTCATACAAATAATTTTTTTTTCGAATACAAAAAAAAAAAAGTCTAAAAACTATTCCCCTAACTTTTCTTCGTAGTCTATTTATGTGTTTCCACAGAACTCCGCTGTCAATATTGATACCTTAGTTTTATTCTATTTATAGAATAAAAAGAAAAAAGTACAAACTCTTGATATTATTTATTAAAACGTTAAAATTACAGGTTAGAGGAACAATTGTACTTGGAGCGAGTGGGCATGTTAAGGCCACCATTGTTTCCCGCGCTGCCGTCTTACCCTCTCTATGGACTGCGATATAGTCCCGACATGTTACCACCGGCCTCACTCGGTCTTATGTCTCCGGTAATGCATGAAAGGTAAGAAAGAAAAACCCTGGGGGAGGTTAATATATTTTTATTTCGAGCGAATTATTACAGTCGAGTACAATATAAGTGTCTCTAACTTATTTATATCGATCGCGAGACAAAATTAAACTATATAAAGTCTGGTCTGGTCTTGTCTGTTTGGATCGCTCACTGGTATGATTTGTTTAGGTTGAAATTAGAAGAGGAGCATAGACTTAGACAGGCTCGAGAGCAGGCTGCGCTAAGGGATGAGGAAGAAAGGAGAAGAGCAGCGCGTAATTCAGCTTCCACAGCACCTGTTCCGTCACCCGCTGCGACTTCTGCGGATACTGCAGGTGAGCGAGTCGCTCCACCCCCCACTGCCTTCCATTGAAACAAAATAAAATAAAAAAAAAAACCGTCGTGTATTATATATCGAAGGTTTACCAGATTTTCCACTACACGTAGAAACTGTTTTATTTTCGATGTAAACTTAATTATTATACATTAATAATAATTATAATAATAATAGTAACAATAATAATAATAATAGAAGTAATAATAATAGTACTAATAATAATAATAATAATAATAATAATAATAATATTAACTATGATGATAAGGATATTATTAAATATGATTATAATAACGATAACGATAGAAATAACAATAACTTTTTATTTCAACAAAACTATCTCAATTACCTGATGTCTTCGCGTCTGGTAAACCTTGCACGTTACCAATTTATTAAGTGATAGTTTTACACGGCGAATTTTATATTTAAATGAATCGTCATAGTGTGGTTTGATGATAATAAAAAAGAGTGAAAAGAAACAAAAAAAAAATATTTAAAAAACAAAACAATTAAAAATTATTAAAAAAAATTATAAGCAAGGAGAATTAAGCAGGTAGACTAATATCGTGATTGTTGTACGATTTAGATAATTTACCCCTTTTTATTTTCGTCCATTGTTATATTTTTAGTATTTTTTTTTATTTTATATAATTTTTATTTCATTTAATTTTAACAGCGTTGAATGACAAAACTTTGCTCTGTCATAAGTTAAACATTCAGCGAGTGATCTTAAAAAATCGTTTGTTCAATTAGTTTTATTAAAATTTTTTATAGTTTTAATCATTTTTTTTGTTTATCTTTTTCATTGTCATTTGTTCGGTAATTGATATTTTTTTTTGTTTTTGTTTTTGGTTTTTTTTTTTTTTTATTTTTTTCACCCTCAGAACCGATGCCAAGCGATCGTTTTCTCATGGCGAAGTTTTGTTCCCTATTGATCAGACTGAATCCATTAAAATAAATACAATAAAATTGTACCCAGTGATAAATTCATTTTATGAAAAATTTAAAATGGTTTTGCCGCGAGAAAAGTGATGATTGTTTAAAAAAAAAAAAAAAAAAAAAAAAAATATTTAGAACAAATAAATATTAAAATGTACTTGACTGTGAAAAAAATTGGGAAAAAAAATCTAAAAAAAAAAATAAAATAACATACTACGCTTCTACTTTAAATGTAGCGATAATGAAAGTTATAGTCATAGTTAATCGTTTCTTATAAAGATAGGTTTAATTTTTTTTAGATAAGTACATTAATTAAAAGAAAAAAACAAAATTATTAAAATTAACAACTATTATCGACGACGTTCACCTAATCGTCGTTTATTATTTTATTATTTTATCGGTTAATTTTTTACTACAATGTCTAAAAATAATAAAACAGACTAGATAAATAATCTTTGTCGAAAAGTTGACACGCGAGATAAATTTATATACTTAAAAAAAAATTAAGGAAAAAAAAAAGGTACAATATAAAAGACAATTGTCTATGAAAATCGTGAAAGTGGATTCCGAGAAGAAAAACGTCCCTTGGTAGTTATCTACAAAACCGTCTTGTGTAATTCTTATTTATTTTTATTGTGTTTTAAATCCCGTGCCACTAGTTGTTATAGAATCGTTAACGTTAAAAAAAAAAACGAACATTATTTTAGAGGCACGTGGTAGTAAAAAATTCATTGAAATTCTGTTTAGAGACTGGATACAAAACTCGAAGGCTGACTTAATAATAAACTCCATCAGATAATAATAACTAAACTGTAATTCATTGAGGTAGAAAGCTGAAAGCTAAAACAACGCTTGTCAACGTTCCATCCGAAATTTTTGGACTCAAAGTTACTGAACCGAGACCAGCGAATATCCGTTTGTTAAAAAATTTCTGCAGCCCGACGCTACAATACCTGTGGATAATAATTATAAAACAATCGCCGGCTAATGAATTTCACTATTGATGATAATAACACAAATAATAATATTAATGATAATAAAAATATTAATATTAATAATAATAATAATAATAACAACAACAACAACAATGATGAAGTTTTTAATTAAAAAAAAAAAAAAAAAAAAAAATAAATAAGAAAAACAATACGTAAATATTTTATAATTACATTAGGTTTCTACGGCGCGACTTAAACACGAGAGTGCACGATACCTAGTCGTTGTTCTCTACTTGATAATTTTTTACATCATCTAAGTTTTATTAAATTTGTATATACTTTTAAATTAGTAGTTAAATTATTATTTTAAATAATAATTATTATTAGTAGATTAAATCGATGTATTTGTTGGCTTGTTTATAATATTATTGTTCATAATTAAATGATAAGTATATAACTGCTAGGTCTCGGCACTCTTGCGTTAGTTCCCGCAACTGTTTTAGAAACTCGTAATAGTTAATCGCTGAACTTGGAAGTCATTTATTCTCAGTCGCAAATAAAAATAATAATAATAATAATATTAATGAGGATATTAATTATTATTATTATTGTCATTATTACAATTATAAAATAAATAAATAAATAATAACTGTTCCTAATACACTGACTGAATAAATAAATCCACTAATGTAAATAACTGTCACACATAACATTCATTTGTCAAAATTATGCCATTTTTATATAATTTATTATGTAAACATGTATATTTGGACTATAATTGAAAATAAACATTGCAAATAAAAAAATATTTAAAAAAAAAAAAAGAGATCAAAATTCTAAGTGATTTGGAATTATTGACCCTCAAGTCGTTTTCTGAAACAGTTTTGGGGAAGATTCGATCGTTTATTGTACTATACTACAAGCTGACAGTGATTGACGACAATGACAATCATTGTCACTTTTTGTTACAATTATTATATTACTAGATTACTAAATTATTATATTGGATATCAGTGCCATTAAATAACCTCCTAATAGCATTCCAAATGAGATTGCGATCGCTTCGGGCTTTTTTTAACCGTTTAAAAATTATCATTATTACATACATTATGTTACTCATTGGTATACATTTTATTTATTTTTTATTATCAAATCTCCATGTATGTACCGCAATATGACAGTAATCATCCCCAATACTTCATAGCAATTAATATTCATTTAATTAAGGAAAGTCAGACGCCCTTTGTTTTATTCAAATCATTATTGCTTTATATTCATTTTTTATTATTAAGAACATTGTTTTTAATTGTCAGCGGCAGTTTTTCCTTAATTAAATTAATTAGTTATAAGATAGTAATAGTTATTGATATAGTTATATCAGCAGTAGCAATAAGGTAAAATCACCCATTATTGACATTAAGAAACGTCACAAAATTATGATAATGAAATTACCATCAGACATCTAACAATTCTTTAAATTTTTATAACAAATCAATTATTATAATGAAAATATTTTTTTAAATTCGCAATTATGATTTTTTTAAATTTTTACATCTGAAATATTAACATTATAATTTAATTGTTACAAAAATCTAAAAAATTTTTAAATATCTGCTAAATTCAATATCATGACAAAATTCTCAATATTTCTTTATATTAATATAATTGATAATTTCAATTAATAAAATCAATTATTGCTTCAATTGTTGACATCTATAATTTGGATGTGCTATTTTTCTGCAAAAAAATAATTAATCAAATATAAAAAATTTATTTCATTTTTAATTTATTAAATAAAAAAATATACAAAACTAAATTTCACTAATTTTTATATAAAAAATAAATATTAATTTTTTTCATCAAATTGTGCAAAGTACTATATATTCAACAGTTGATTTTTTACAAAAAAAATTTTTTTTAGTTTCTTGCATATTTTTTTATCAATATCAAACAACATAAGCCTCAATCTAGTATTTGAATTTTAAAGTTAAATAAAGAATTAAAAAAAATCTAACTATGATGCAAAAATAAATGTCAAAAATCGGTGCTTTCACCTTTCCTGATTAAGAAATCTAATTTAAAATCAAAAACAATTTTATCCTACCAATTCACTATACATTTTGTATAAATTGAATAATTTCAAATTAGATTTTTAAATCAGATAGCAGTAAATGATACTGAAATCAGCAGACATCTGAAAATTTTTGAAATTTCTTCAAAAAATCAAATATGATTAAAAAAATATTTTTGAAAATTTGCACTCATAATTTTTTCCAATTTCCACATGTGGATTTTTTTTTTTTGAGTTTTTTCATAATAATTTGATTATAAAAATCCAAAAACTTAACAGAAGTCTGTTAATTTCAGTATCATTAGCAGTAATTAATTTCCAACGATAATAACAAAGCTATAATAAAGGTAAGTTGAAGATCAAAATGCATCTGGGCATGTTGCAATAAAAAAAGCAATACTCATAAATTTGAATATACTCAAAACAATTGTTAGTAGTAGAGCATTACCAAGCACTGTGTGTCCGGATTTGTTCCAGCTAGGAAGCCGACTATAGCGCCGCAGATGTATAACGAGAGGGGAGAACGCGACCGCCCAAACTCTCGAAACAACTCCACCAACAACACCGGGAACGAAAGTGTAATTTCCAAATCTCACAACCAATCACGGAAAGAAGACCAGAGCCCAACTCTAGCAGAAGCATCAAACCTCTCGCCAGTTTACCATCACCAGCGACTAGCGCCGCCTTACACAAACCCTTCAGCCCTGGCGACTGGGATCAGCACCCCCGCAATATGCTCCGTCAGTTCCACACCGATACCTCCAGGCCTGCCATCACTGAGCCTAGGACCTGCGATTCCTCCAGTTCCAATCGGACCAACAATTCCAGCTCCCTTGAACATGCCATTGGCTCCAATGATGGGCCTACACCTGCCGCCTCCACCTCCAAACACAATTCACTCTAGTCAGCACTCAAATTCGTTGATGAGCAGCCCTCCAACGACTTGTTCAAGCTACCCAATACCTCACCAGCCGGTTCCGATCCACCAGCCTTCTCAGCCAGGTGCGCTGCCGCCTCAGCATCAGCAATCACCATCACAATCCCAACCGCAGCATCCACTCTCGGTGCAGCATCACCTGAACAGCGGCTTCACCACAACAACAAATTCAATGCTGGCCAGTGGAACCATGACCACGCATGCCACTCACACTCTGTCAACTCCTGGAGCTTCGCCGTCGATAAACGTCTCCAATCATTTGTCACCTCACGTGACCCACTCTTCAAGGTTGAAAGAAGTTTCAACGCCTACTACGACTTCAGCTTCAGCTTCTCTGTCAACCCCAGCAACAACAGCAACAGCAACTACCTCGGCTCCGGCTTACCAGCCGACATTTGTTCGTCCTTTTGAAGACTCCTTCAGGTCCTCGTCTGCTGCGAACAAACCTCCCTCCCAGCCGTGGTCTATTCTAAACAATCCAAATATGACTAGTCAAATTCATCAAGAACCCTTGGTTAATAAATTACCAACTAGCACCGCCACCCAGGCACTAGCAGTACCTGTAGCGCCTATGCCCATCCCGGGTAATGTTGCAGCTAATTTTCCTCAAGACAGTACTATGCCGGTGGATAATTCAAAAAGTTCAACGATTTATGCCCCACTTCAGCATCACCCACAGCAGCAGCAGCAGCAATATCATCATTCTCATATTCCCCCGGAGAATAGTGGAAGTTTGTACAAACCACAGGGATTTCCTGTGGGCTCGCATCATTCACAGCTGCCTACTCCACAAAGTACGCCCCGAACTACTGCAATAACAACGACAACGACCTCAATAATGTCGACTAATATTCAAACTTGTGGTTCTACGTGCTCGACTGTTTCTACCAACACTAATGGGACCAGTGATACAGCCTCAAAACCTGGTAATTTAAATATAAACGGCACCAAATTGTCAAACAATTCTATTGGGCATTCTGATGGAATGAATGACTCGGTTGGAGTACAGAAGAACGGACACGATAAAACGACAACCAATCTCAATTATTACAGTCTCGCGGAAAATAATTTAACGGGGAATCCGATTAAGCATGTCAGTTTGAACGTTAATAATAGAAATGTCCTGGAGCATACCAAGGAGAACAAAGTTCAGGTTCATGTTAAGGTGAGTAACGACATTTCTAATGCATTGCACCCCAAGCTGATGCCAAATCGAGTGAACAATGTCAATCCTGATATTAAGTCTCAATATCCTGCGGTGGGTAATGAGACTGCTAAAGAGCGCATGAGTCCGGTTTTTATCAAGTCTGCGGAATCTATTGGAGATAAAAATGGGAATAAGTATAATAATGAAAATTTAACTGGAAAAATGCCTTTGGAAATTCCTAGTGTCTTACCTCCAAGTATCCAAGCGATATCTTATCCTGCTCCATTAAAGTATCCTAATGAGATTGTTAATTCTAAAGACAGCTTCAACTCCGGGAATTTTATGCAGAGCATCAAGTCCAAGGAGGTATTACGGACCTGTCAAAATGTATCGAATGTCTTGCTGCAAATTCCCAAGTACCAAGAGATGTTGATTAATTATTCGACTGAATTAAAAGGAACTTATTGCTACACGGACAAGTGCAATAATTTGGCTGAGATCACGGTAAAGTGCGAACCTCCTGTTATTAATGTTCCTGATCCGGCTAAAGTTTTAGGAAAAGTTGAAGATTGCGTTGCTGGTGAAGAAGCTCTGACTTTGGTGGTTGGAAAACCCAAGGAAGTCACGTCTACGCTGGATCTTGCTGAGAAAAGACGGAAGCGCAAACGGGAACAAAACTCGGGTATTTCTTACAGCTCCGAGTCCGAAAGCGAAGATGACATGGCCAAGGATGTTGATTTATGGATTACTAAAGGTCCGCCGGCTAAGATGTGTTACTCGGAAAAGAAATTGTCTTTTTTGGCGATATTTGGTCTTACAACTCTTAGTATGAGAAACGGTAAGATTTTGATTTTAATATCATGTTATGATGATTTTTAGTTAAGAAGTTGTACGCACTTAAAAGATCAAAAAAGGAATTTTTTTATCATTTTCTTTTGAAGAGTTTTTAATTTATTATACGAAAGTTGATATTCATCCAATATTAATTTTGTATTTAATTAATAAATTTTTTTTTTTTAATATGTTTTTTAAACCATACACTGAAAAAAAAAAAAATTCTTGACTAGAGGGTAAATTCTTGACTCAAGAAAATATTAAGGATGATAATTTCTTGAGTGAAGAAAATTTCTTCTTGCTTCAAAATAACTTTTGTCTTCCTTAAAATTTTCTTGGTTCAAGAAATTTTTTTTTCTGTATAGAAATACAAAAATCCAAAGAAATTTCGTTAATATAAGATAAAAAAAATTACGTTAAAAATTTTGACCCTGAATTTTTATTTGTCCTTTAAAGTTTTTGACCTCAGTTCTATTTACCTGCTAGCGTAAAGTTTTACAAATATGCGCATAACTTTAAAAATACTTTTCCGAAAGACGCTAAATTTTTTGCGTGTACACTTAAAGATATATGTTACAAAAATAAATGAAAAAAAAAAAAAAAAAAAAAAAAAAAAAAAAATTGATTTTTTTTTAATTTCAAGTGCATATAACCGCTTAGATATTTATAACCGTACTACAATTTTTCTAATAATAATTGAATATTCTAAAGTTGGTTTCTGATCGATACTTATGGTCTACATTAATTAATGCTTCAATTTATTATTAAAATACTGTAGTACGATTACTATAAGTTTTAATGTGTATAAAAAAAATGATTTATTAATAAATAAATTATATTAATTTTCAGAAATTGAATTGCATAAATTAGAAAAGCGGTATCGGCTGAATCCAGAACCTCCTGAAATACCTGTCGATACCAACGAGACGACTTGCAAAGTTGAATCACTTTTGCCCATACCTAAAGAGCATCCAGATGTTTTAATAAATTCATCAGATTTTATGCCTAAAGTTGGGTTTCTCAAGACTATTGGGTTGGATGTTATGCCACCGAGTAAAAGAGACGGTAAATGATTTTAATTTAAAAATATTTCGAAATTGAATAATTAAAAACAAGTAATAAGAATTTTAATTATTTTAAAATAAATAATTTTTTTTACAGAAGCTGAAGTAATATGGCAATACGTTTTGCGTGATCGTAAAAAACGTAAAAGTACCAATTGCGTGACAGTATACTGTGATCGAATTGCTCAAGAGTACGAAAAAAATCCTCCGAAAGCGCCTCAGAAAATGCGACTGTTAGACAGAGTAAAAGTGAAACCACCAAGTGGTCGAGCACCTTTGCTGCCGCCTTTACCAGGTCTATTTTCTGCTTACTACCCCGCAGTGCCTGTGCCGATCGAAAATGGCGTGAACCAGCTGTACCAATTTCCCATGAAACAGCGAACGTGGGCCGAGGAAGAGAACGAGGAGAGCGAGGAGACCAAAAAAGCTATTTGGACCAACATCGAAGATATTATGACCGCTTATTATCAGTATTCAAAAGGTGATAATTAATTTTAAATATTGCAAAATGTTTTTACAACTGTTCAAATTTACATGGATTATTTTTTTCAGATAAATCAACGGAGCGTAAAATATTGACGGAAGAAATGTCGAAATTGGTAGCGCGTGCAAACATGCTGTGTTCAGAACAAAAACAGCTGGAGCAAGCGCGAGACGAATTATTGGCCACTAAATCTTCATTGGAGTTCGAGCGACGGAGTATCAGTGATCAGATTAAAAGGATAAAAACGCTTGTAAAGCGTCTTAGATAACGATGCGTAACGCACAACACGGAAACTCATTCATCTGTGATATTATCGGCGGGTTAAGGGTCGTCGCAGTGCGGAGTATCCACCGAAATAGTAAAAATAATAATAATATTAACAATAATAAATTAATACGTTGTATGTACTTAGTAGTTTTCATATATACTATAATTATTAATATTTAATATTAATTAAATTAATGCGAGCCGTTACAATGACCAAATGTGTATGTACAGGATATGATTAGTTGTTTATTGATATAATTTTTTTTTTATCATTTTTAATCGTCTCAATAACTGTAGATGTGATTATTTGTAAAATTACGATACTGCACAACGATAAATTAGTAATTAATTTATATTTAATTTAACTGACTTTTGATTAAATATAAATTAATTAATTTAATCAATGAAATTGAGTAAATAATCTAGTGATGTTTATTAATAATAGGAGCATATCAATATCTTATGTATAAATTGTATAGAATGAGAACAAATATTAGTAGCGTGTATACAAAGTGATATTTTTTTTTTTTGTATCACTTAAATGAAAATTATAAGTAATAAATTTTTTAGTATTTTAATAGTTGATCCCTGACTGGCGGCTCTTATACCCAAAGTATAAAAATATATAAATAAATAACGAAATAAGTGACAAAGGCAAATAACGAATAATAGTAACTTGATTTATTTTGATTAATAATAGAATTAATTAATACTAAAATTGAAAAACTATTAGTGAGTGGGGCTCGACTTAAAATAAATAATTTAAGAATCCTACGTCAATAAATATATAAATAAATATATTATTATACAAATATATATGAATTTAAGATAGTTTTAAAAATACGACAGGGGCTTGGTCAGTTTGTAATGTGCCGGAAAAAAAAATACGTGATGATTAATGTTGCATGAGGTGTCTCGTTTAAAATATACTTTTATATTGTCGATTGTAAATTGCATGTCAATGTCAATGATAAATAATTGTAAACAATAATAATTATAATGATAACAATAACAATAAGAATATAAATTTTATTGAGATTGATAATTGAAAAAAAAAAAAAAAAAAAAAAAGAAATTTCATAAGTAATAATGATAATTATTTAATGAGGACTATTAATTTTTTGTCCTTAATATTTATTTGTTGTTCGCGGTTAATGAATGCAAAGGCCAGTTTTTAAATGTATTTACAAATACCGATGGTCAGCTACTTAGTTTTATAAATATAGCTCTTGTTTTTAAAATAAGCGAGAAGGGAAAAGTATAATTAAAACAAAATACAAAAATAACCATTACAAGCATAATCAAAAGACATTCCACCCTCGCGGACTTACTGCAAGCAGTTCTGTTTTTGCAAATAAATAATTTAAAATCAATGGTAAATAAAAAAAAAATGCTTATGCATTTATAAATATATTTATATTTTCATGAGAAAATAAATAAATCAATATCTTTACAATTCAATTTTTTTATTAATCTCATTGTAAATTGCACACTTTATTTTATTAAACAGATTATTTTATGCAAACAAATTTTGTTAATTGAGTGCCTAACTTTTGTATTGTATTTATGTTTATTTATATTATGTACAATTTTATGTGAAAAGAGGAATTGACAGTGTAAATATTGAAACAACACGTTTCATGATAAATTATTGTAATAATAGTCAATTTATTATTGCAAGATATTTTGGTTTTATACCCATTTGATATTGTTTATCAGTTCTTTTATTGAAAATCAACTTTTAAATAAAGAGGATATAATTATATTATTTTTATTATTTATTTATACTTTACCTACTATCCTGTTAGTTCCAAATTTTCAAAATTTATTTAACAAACAAATTACAGCTAGAAAAATTTATTAAAAAAATTCCATCTTTGGAAGCTTTTAAAAATTATAAATGCAATTTTTTATAAATAATTTTCTAAGCTTAGTTTATTTTTAATAAAAATCAGAAAATTGTTGTCTGCTAAATATTTAAGTAATAATAAAAATATTTTGTCAGAAAATCAAGATGCGCGTTATTTTGTTTTTTATTTAAAGCTTCGAAATTTAATTTAAAAAATACGCGCCAAATCTGGAGAAGCGATACTAGCGACCCACTCAATAAAATAAAAAAATAGATAAGTAAAATAAAGATCTGTTCAGTTTCAGTGCACCAGTAGCTTTTACATTAGCAACGTGTTGTGCTAAAAAATAATTAGAAAGATAAATAAATTTGATATTTAAACAACAATTTAACATTTATTAATACATAATAAATAAGTATTGAATTTATTGACAATTTTTATAAATCACTCCAAGTAGGTGTCATGAGTTTAATCAATTAATCACATATAGTTACTCCAAAACCGGGTTGTTCTTATCACATCTAGAACGTGCTGCATTTAGTATTTTAAAACTCATATCAGTTAAAGTGAATTTCAGGAATTTACATTATTTAAAAGAGAAGAATTTAAAAAGTATTTAAAGGTGAATTTCAAATGATTACAACTTTAATTGGATTGTAAAAAATTAGTGAAGCAATTATTAATGCCGCTATTGATTTTTCAACGAATCACCATACGAATAATTGCAAACATGACAAGCCTGGGTATTATCATTAAATGACAAGTGTCAAAGTAAGTTTATTAATTAATTTAATCTATCTACATTTATATATATATATATATCCTCACACGAACGTCATATATTATATTGAATTTTTTTGTAGCTAGAAAAAAATGACTCACTGATGTATCGACGCTGACCTAGGTAGCTATTTTTTATTGATAAGATCAAATGGTCAGGGAATCAATATCTGGAAATCTAAGTATGCAATCTATTGGTATACTTCTGACACACATTTAAATATCAGCTATTTTAATCCAAGACTAAACATCTACAGAAATATAATACAAGTTAGCGCTTTGCTGCAAGTCATGCAATATTGTGTTTAGAAAAAAAAAAAAAACTACTGTAGATAGGACGCAATTATCCTGATCTAAAAAAATAAGAGATAAAATCAATACCGGCGTTTCTTCAACTTGGACATGACAATGACAACTATTTATTATCACCGGTAGCTTTTTAGATAATAGCGCGAGCCTTACTAAAGAGTAATATTTTATAAAAGAAAATCAGCGACAGCAACAGCCTGTGTTGTTTAGTCTCTATTTGTTTTTTTTTTTTCTCTATTATTTCCATCTCTACTTTGTAATAATGATAATAATCATCAACATCAACGACTCTTTACCTCACTCAGCAATTTAATTTCAGTTTACTGACGGCGCTCATTCGATCAAGGCAGTTTCTCTTTGCATATTAAAATCGCTATAAAATTTTCGCATTAGTTCTCAGCCTTTACGACAAAAATTTAAAAAGTGATAAATTTAAAATATAATTGAAGGTAATTTCATAGCTACGTTTGCGTAAATACAGCAAGTAAGAATAGACTTATTAAAATTATTTTAAAACCACACATTCGATAAGGATGTTGACACTAATTAGTTAATAAGTTTTGTAATAAAAAAATAAATGATACATATTTCATATTAACGATAGAAAAATTAAAATGATTAATTCAAACTATTAAAATTTATGCATATTACGTCATAACAATGATTATTGAGTTTCACTGTGTGTTGATAGAACCTGCAAGTTCTTAGATACAATTAAGTACGGTGGTCTTTGGTCAAGGTCGTAGTATGAAGACATAGAGGTGGTTTTGTTTGTGAAAGGGCAATTATTAATCATTTGCACGAGGAAATGTAAAATAAATGTTGTATAATTTAACTGTAATAAGTAATAAGTGTATGTGCTTGTTAATTGCAACATTAATCGTAACCGGTAATCATAAAATTCATTTAAAAATTGTAAATCAACTTAGATAATCAGTTGCACTTATCATTTAGTCATGTCATTCTTTATCAGTCGCGGTCTGCATATGCAACACTTTTATTGATAATGACATCAGAATTTTGATTTAATTTTTTATCATAAATTTCATTGGAATATTTTATTTTATTTTATAGAAGTCTGGTGGAATAAGTCTCCAGCGAAAAATATATATTTATTGGAAAGATGCAACAGCTATCGAACGCGCTTGAAGAAACGGTTTACTATAAAGACGTTGTTATAGTTGGTGAGTAAATGTAATGAAAAATAAAGAAAAAAAAAATACAAGAAGATATTAAATAGAATTATTTAATATTAAATGCAAAAAATTATAATTAATTAATTAGCAAATAAATTTTATTTCTTCTTAGGAAATGGACCGGGTGCAATGTTTTTATCGTTTATGCTCAATGGTAATTGGCCTTATTACACTGGAGGTTCGCATCCAGGCGACGAAATGCTCACAGCTCGTCTACATTACATATTAGACAAAGCTAATCAAGTTATGACACATAATGTAGAAATAAAAAAAGAGGATGAAACTAGAGAGAATTTACTTATGTACAAAAACGAGGACAAAAAGACTGGTAAATCAAACTCTGGAATACAGACACAAATAGAAATAGAAAATACAGAGAGAAAGAGTCTGCTAGAATGTACCCGGGAAGAGCTTGAGATTTTAGCGACTGGCGTGGAAGGTCGGGGCACTTGCAGACCGCTAGCTTTACTGATGGACCAGCTGCAGCATCCATGTGTTGATTCAGGCCTCAATTTGCCGGGTCTGATAGCTTGGAAGTCTGCGGAACACTGCCCGAGACAGAAAATTGTGAATCACGTAGTGCTGGGCAAAGGTCCACCAGGTGGAGCGTGGCAATTTATGGATCCAAATGTATTAACAATTAGTTTAAGTCGGTGGATGTCGTTGCCAGGATTAGATTTTCAAAAGTGGGAAAGGCTGGTGGGAGCTGAACAATTACATAAGATTTCTATTTCATTACAAGACGCTCGTCTCTCGGCAGAGCCAAACTTTGACACGCTTGACGCTATGAAACGAATTCCAGTTGGTATCGTAGCTGCGTACTACAAAGACTACGTCAAAAAACAAGGATTAGCTAAATATTTCAAAACGTAATAAAAATAAATAAATATTGATATTATTTTATTTTTAATTTCAACTTAATATAAATTTGCACCTTTGATATTTTTTCGGCAGCACATAATCTTGACATCAAAGTGTGTTCCCCAAAGGCAGATATTTTGATAAGTTAAAAATGTTGAGTCAATTAAAATTATTAATAATTATTATTTCATTTATTTCATAACAAATTCTGAATATTTTAAGGTTCAAATTTATAAAAGTTGATACAATAGAAAATTTTTTTTAATACTACTTTCTGTTAAAAATCATGATTTTATAAAAAAAAAAATCAATACGTTATGATTATAGAAATTAATTTTCGAGAATTCTTATAATCAGACACCGTTTTAATTAATGTGTTTTTAATTCTAGTGGGAGGACAATAACATCAGTACGACCTATATTAGACACAACGAACACCGAAGATAGTTACGGATGGGTTGTAAAGGGATACGATAATTTGAGCGGTCGGAAATTTCGTTACAAGTGTAAAAAAGTCGTCCTTGCCAGCGGATCTACCAACACTTTCAATCGCCTTGGACTTGCCGGCGAGGAAACCCAATCCAGTTGGGTGACCCACGATCTCAATGACCTTGAAACTCGTCTCGATCGGCTAGCGGGCAAATGTAGTAAGTCCCACACGCAGATATTGTATGCTTTTTTTTTTTTAATTTTTTAAATTTTTTAAATTTTTTTTATTGCACGTGTCATTAATTTGAATTTTAAATGGGCCCAGATACACTCTGAAGACCTGTTTATAATAATAATCGACGAGTGTTCTAATGTTTATTTTCGTGTTTGTTATAAATAGAAAAATGTGGAGCACGAGAGAACCAGGACTTGAGCAAAATAGATCCAATATTGGTGGTTGGTGCCGGTTTGAGTGCTGCAGACGCCATCATAACTGCCCGCTGCCGAGGAATTCCGGTAATTCATGCATTCCGTGAATCGTCTGACGCGTCATCCGACGAGAGCGAGAGTGGAGTTAAGTTAAGTGCCAATGTCTACGAAAGACTGCAGACGCTTCCCATCTCTATGTACCCGGAATACCATAAAATTTACGAAATGATGGCAGATGGGAGGAACCATAGACTCTACAAGTCCCTTGCAGGTTACAAACTTGTAGACCTTGGTGTAAAATCTAATGATTCAAACAAAACTAAGGAGAGAAGGGTAACCCTGAGGTCACCGAGCGGACAACTATTTACATTCCGTGTTTCCATAGTTGCTATTCTCATTGGTACGTTTAATATTAGCATTAATAAAAGATAAAATCACTTTTTTTTTATACTTTATCTTTTATTTTTTATCACATTATTAATATTAATTCCGGAATAAAACCAAGCAGACACGAGATAAATTTATTGAATTAATTTTTTATCATTTTATTTCAGGTTCTAAACCAGACTTATCTTACCTCGGAGATTATGCAAATAAGTTAGGAAAAGTCGAAGATAAGCCGATAAGCGGTCGGTCTAATCCCATTCTAGTTGACGACTTTACTTACCAAGTTATAAAGTCTCCAAGAGAGGGGCTCTACGCAATCGGATCACTCGTCGGAGACAATTTCGTACGTTTTATACTTGGCGGCGCATTTGGTGTCGCGTCCCATATACTCCGGACTATTGACACCGAATAATTGTACTTTATAATAGTTATTACTATTTATATAATTATTACCAGAGTCAATATACTGAACTTACACCAAACTTACGTAAATTTACTGGTGTGAAACTAAAATTATTTGATGGTTTAGTTTAGAAAAAAAAAAAAATTGCTTGTAATATATTGAAATGACATTAACTTAGTTAAGTTAAACAAAAAAAAGAATTCTTTTTAGTTTTAAAAAGTCAATAGTTTAATTTAAAAAATTATTTTTTTTATTATTTATATTTATCAGAATCAGCTAAAACTTACTGGTACATTCCTTGTGAATTTTGATTTTATAAATAATTCTAAATAATTTTGATAAGTTCGATGTAAGTTAATTGAGTTTGACTCAGGTACTACCATTACAGTTAGAGAAATAATTTCTATCGCTAAAGCAAATTACTATCGTACCAAGGACGCCGAAATGGTGCTACGCAATGTCAAATGATAAGATTACTCTTGTGCCTCCTTGACCGTTTTTATTATTTATTTACATAGAAGTATTTTTATATAATATATGACCAGGTTCATTATAAATGACTAGAGTTCATAAATTTTTACTAAAACCATCGGCAAGAGATTATTATTATTATTATTATTATTATTATTATTATTATTGTTGTTGTTATTAATTTTTTTTTATATAGATATACAAAATGTAGAAATAATATATATATATATATTTATCTATTTTTTTATAAAATATCAAGACTTATTTAAAAAATATGTTCTGTAGGTTGCGGGATATATTTATTCAATCAATTTTTTAAATATTTATCTTAAAAGCTTTTATTGATTTGAGTTACTCCTTTTTTATGTATATTAAATTGTAATAACAACAACCTATTTACAGGTGCCTTCTAATAGGTGATTATGCTTAAAATTTAATAACAAATGCATAGAACACTTGTAATAGTAAATGCTAATTTAAAGCGTTTAAAACAAGAGGGTACAAAGAATAAATATATGTATATATTATAATTTATAATAATTACTAATATTGATTACGTGTTTTATAGCACTTCACACTATTCCTAGTGGTATCCACTATAAATAGTATAGACAACATTCATAGCAGTCTGATTGTTGAAAAATATTACTATTATTATTATGTGAATCATTAAAGAAAAAAAAAAAAAATTTATTCATACAAATATACTATCTGTATTTAAATTAACCACCACATAGCCTGTGATATTAAGACGGTTGATATTTTTAAATAAATTCATTCACTATTTCATCATCATTGTTAATAATCATTTAATAACAACCATAGTCATAGTCATAGTTATAATTTTTTGTCTTTTTATAAGTAATAATAATTAATTATATAATATACATATACACATTAATTTTATAATAACACTGATTAACGTACAATGTCTTCAAGCATTTTTTACATCAACACTTCATGATTATATAAGAGAAAATAAAAGTAATCTCAGTCTTGTAAGCGGCAATAAACCGTCTTTGAACCTTGTTATGATAAAGTACCAAATTGCGTTATTTATACTGATGGCAACGATAATTGTTTCGTGATAAATTATCAAGTGGAAATAAATAAAAGATAATAATAAAAAAAAAAAAAAATCGCGATAAATAAAAGTACCTTAATATTGAGTACAAATTGCACAGAAAATAACCAGAAGGATAAAAAGAATCAGTAAAATTCAGGTTTTAAATAAAACAAATAAAAAACTGAGAAGGATAATAGCCGCGGCGAGGATAAAAATACAGTAGAGTTTACGGTTAGCTCGTTGATAAGAGTCAGCTTTTTTCAATTGCTGGTATCCTTCGTGAACTTGACCTTGAGTATGCTCAATATTATAATCGATACGGTCGAGTATGCTACCTTGATCGTGTACCATAGTCGCTAAATCCTGCCAGTTTATAAAATATTTAATTTCATATTGAGCCTACTACTTGTGTTAATTATTAACTACTCTACGAATGACATAATAATTTATTATTGATACTTTTGAACTTACCTTGAATATGTGATTGAGATCAGCTATACTTTGAACAATATGTGTCACTTCTTGTTCCCTTTCAACTGCCTGCCTCATCGATTCTTCAGCATCCTCGAGCATCAACAGTACAGTTTCCTGTTTTTGCTGCTGTCTCGGCTGCCAGAACTGATCATTTATTTCATTGGACGGTGATTCTCCGGCCCAAGAATCCATTGAAATGTCAGGTAACATTCTATCTTCCCCAAAAAACGGCCTATTTCTCTCTTCTCTTGAATTTAACTCTATAATTGATTAATTAAAAAGTTAAAGCAAAATTAATTAAGTATTTTTCAATTAGTTAAATTGATTTTAAAATCAATTACGTTGAATGTAATTATTCTGAGCAGTCCTATATCGAATTCCCAAGTCTTGTAACGCAGAAGAAAGCGCCAAAACTGCACTCATAGCTAATTGTTTTTCTGCATGACGAATTTCATGTCTCGCTGCAGCTTTTACTGTTTGAACTTGTCGATGACCACTGGAAAATGCACGCCCTATTTCACGAGTCAATTGCTCCATTTGTCGTTCTTCCTAAATTAATATTATCGATTATATTAATTAAATAATTAATTTTTATTCACAAATCTACTGATTAAAAATGATACTGAAGTTAGCTGACAGCTGTCAATTTTTTAAATTCTTATAACAAATCAATTACAGTAATAAAAGCGATTTTTAAAATTTTTACGAGCAATCTATATTATTAAGAGAATAAGTAAAATTTTGTGGCCAGTGTATATATATATGATAAAATGGATTTTTATGGTTCAATTTGGTATCATTGGAAAAGTTTTGACCTGGAGTTGTACCTTTTCATAGTTTCATATCATTCTCACCGATAGTCAATTTATAATGATAAGTATTTAGGCTGCATTCGAAAATGCTCTATTTCTAGATACGTAATTAAGAAATTACCTTGTATCTTATAAACAATTGACATTTTTAAAGATATAAGCTCATCGTGATGTTATACTCATCGAGACCTATATGTATATATGAAAAATATATAAAAATGCATGTGGGTACTCAAATGAAAGCTCTTGATGAGTGTAACATCGAGATGAGCTTGTGTCTTTAAAAATGTCAATAGTTAAAAAAGTACAATGCAATTTAACAAAAATCATTATTTAATAAAGCTAAATTTTATTTATTGTGAAATTTTTTTCATAATAATTTCATTGATATAAAATAATAAAAAAATTTCTAATATCTGTCAACTTCGGTATCATAATTAAAAAACAAAAATTACCTGAGAAGTATCATCAAGAGTTGGTCGCGTTAAATGTCGACCATGCAATTCAATTAAACTATCTAATTTTATTTTCAAACGACTTAAAATATATTGGGTTTCTTCGAGAGCATCCGCCCAGGCTGGAGGTGACGAATTACTTCCATTTATTCCTTTTAATTCTACGCTATCAGGCGATCTATTGTCCGAATTAACTAAGGCCATACGATCGGATAAATTCTGAAAATAATTATCAAGTGTTTATTTATTGAATAAATTTTTTTTTATAATTATCAAAGGTGAGGTTAAACTCACCTGTTCCGCATAAATATGTTTTGTTTGCAATGCATTGTTTCGCATAAGCACAAACGGCTCAGTTAAATTTCTTGTTGCCATTATTTAATTATTTAATTTTTTATTTGTATATATTTAATTGAATATAATTACGGTATAAAATAAATGCATTACTAAACGCACTGACATTAAAAGGAAACTACTGTCAGAAACAGCTGATATTAACCAATATGGCGATTTAAACAATAGATTCCATGGATTTGAAAAAACCGCCATATTTAATTGAAATATAAAAATTTATTTATTTCTGAGTCAATTAATTTAAATGTTTAAGGAAAATTTCAACAGTTGAATTTAATTTTAATCTGCCTATTATAAATTATAAATTCTCAATTTATAGAAAAAAATGTTCTATGTAATTATTAATTAATAAATTAAAAAGGATATAAAGGATACATTTATAACTACAAATAATTAAGATACTGAAATTGAGAGACATCTAATAATTTTTGGAATTTTTTTGACAAACAAATTATAGCAAGAAAAATTTATTTAAAAAATTCAATTTTTAGAAGCTCTAAATAATTATAGATGTTATTTTCTAAGAATAATTTTTTATGTCTAGTTTGTTTAAAAAAAAAAAATTGTCAAGTGTCTACTAATTTCAGTGTCATAAATAATTACAGATAAAATGAAAATATTTATTTAACATTTTTGCCAACGGCATCAGTAATTGACGAGTAGCCATTCAAAACAATTAAATCATTCAATTCTTTTTTTATTTTCTGCACAATTGGCGGGCCGTGGTACGCATACGATGTATAAATTTGTATCAAAGAAGCACCGGCTTTGATTTTATCAAAAGCGTCTTTGCCGGAAAAAATTCCACCTACTCCAACAATGGGAATTTTACCATTAGTCCGTTTATACATATCAGCAATTAAATCAGTTGATAAATCAGTCAGCGGTGCTCCGCTAAGGCCTCCAGTTTCATTTTTATGCTCACTTGACAGGTCACGGCGACTTATAGTCGTATTTGAGAGAATAAGGCCGTCGACTTTGCATTTGGATTTTTGGATAATCTCCGCCACGTCTTGTCGCTGATTATTCGTCAGATCAGGTGCCAGTTTTAAAAGTAAAGGAGGATAAGATTTCATACTTTGACGTACGCTGTTTATTGAACTCAAAAGTTTTTCTAAATGTTCTTTGCCTTGTAAGTCTCTTAATCCTTCGGTGTTCGGACTGGAAACGTTTATCACAAGATAGTCAGCGACATCACTGAATTTTTTGACTCCTTCGACGTAATCTGCAACCGGATCTGTTGATGTTTTATTTTTGCCTAAATTTACTCCGATTATTCCGGTAAAGCTTGAATCGCTTCTTAGGTCAAGTAGACGTTTGTAAACAGCTTCGTGGCCTTCACTATTGAATCCGTAACGATTTATTATTGCTTTGTCTTCAGTTAATCGAAATACTCTTGGCTTAGGATTACCAGGCTGTGGATTTGGAGTCACAGACCCTAAAAATAAATGATATTGAAATTGAGAGACATGATAGTCTCTAGAATTTTTTTTAGCAAATAAATTATAGCAATAAAAATTGATTTAAAAAAATTCCATCTTTAAAAGCTTTAAAAAATTGTGAGTGTAATTTTTTTAAAATAATTTTTTAGACTTATTTTATTTCTCCAAAAAAATAAAAAAATTGTCAAGTGTCTGTTAATTTTAGGGTCATAAAAAGTAAATGTTTCAATCAAATAAATTTATTAATCACACAAAAAAATAATTACCTATTTCAACAAAACCAAATCCCATTTTAGTTAAACCTTTGATAGCTTCTCCTTGCTTATCAAAACCAGCAGCCATTCCTACCGGGTTACTGAACTTTAATCCAAAAACTTTTTGATTTAAAGCCGAAGAATCAGGTGTTCTCGGTTCAGAAATAAATCCCCACTTGGCAGCAGTTACAGCCAAGTTATGAGCAATCTCAGGATCAACTAATGTAACTAAAGGCATAAGGACTTGATTATAAAATTTTTCGTTTCCTTGATACATGCATGTACCAGCAAACACAGTGGCACTGCCAAAAGTAACTTTAAGAAGTGATTGTATTTTTTTTCGCTCACTCAAACGAGTTGCCATTTTGGAGATCTAAAAAAAAACACTACTATTTAAATAATAATAATTATTATTATTATTAATATTAACATAAAATTTTTTTTTTGATTTGCTTACCGGCTTGTAAGGTTATGTCGACTGGGCAAAAATATTGAATAAAAAATAGCACCGAAAGATTGTGTATATTTAAAACTACTGTTAATAAAAAATAATAATTTTATTTATTGTGCACTAGAATGAACTTTGTCTCCAGCCTGTCGTCTGGTCTCGATGACCAGGGGCCTGGTACCGTACAAATTACTCAAAATTACTTGTCTCTTAATTATTTCAAGATTTTCAAGTCCTTTTTTGTAGCAGTCGGCTATCAATTTATCATCCTGAAGAGTTTTACTTTTTTGGAACTCGTGTCTCACTTTCCTGAGAGTGTATTCACTGAAATATCAAAATACCATCAGTATATAAAATACATAATCTGATAAATATATAAATAATTTTTACCGGTAATTATAGGCGCTCCATTTCTTGCTCTCACGAATTAAATTTCTGTAAAGCTTCAGAACAGCATCACGACTAGCCATTATATCTACTCAACATTAACATATACATACAAAATTATACAATATATTTATTATATAGAATTTTAATAATACATATATCAGTGTAATGTATATTTAGAAAAATTTTTTACTATTTTTTACTTGCTTACTTGGTCATAAATCAAATCATATGATACCGAATTGTGTGCCATCTACACACCATCTACGAGCTGGTACTTTTGCAATTAAAATCTTTAACCTTAAATTTTCTAAAAATTTTTGCAATGAAAATTTACGTGATCATGAGCAACAGTAAATTAAACTTGCATGTGAATTTTTTTTATTAAATTTCTTAATTAATTATATTTTTACTGACTGAAATTTTAATTGCGTAATAGGACTTGTTCTGTAACAGATGGAGTTGCTTGACAGAACCCTGGAAATAAGCCTCCTTTCTCGGAAAACTTCAGTCGTTGATTATCTCTGAAGTGGTCAACAGCACAAAGTATATGTCAGTGTACAGATATATAAATAAGAGCAAGTAGTAATTATCATCAAGTACGCACTTAAAATTTCATACGTTGCAATGACTGAATTAATATCAATTCCTTTAAAAAAACCATCGGATGTCGACGTAATTAAGCCACTTACTAATATTATTAAATCGACGTACAATTCGGCGACTAATCAAAAGGATTATACTGAGCAAATTAGTGAATTTAGTAAACTAAGAAGTAATGCGTTATGGCGTGCATTTGAGAAATATGAAAGTTCTTTAGAGGTTATTTACAGGTATGACTCATTTCTTCATTAAAATTTTATAAGGAATATTTACATCATCCATTATAATACCCGATTAATTTTAATCCACATTTATCCGATGGAATATTAATAAAATTTCATCGTTTTACGTAGCACTAAATTTTATTTATAGAAAATTTTTTAAGATTATTGGAGATCGATAACAAAATGAATCATATCAAAAAAATATCAAGTATTCATTATATAAGAATAACGATAAATATTTCATGTGTTGAATATTTTATATTACAGCTATTATGACCAGCTGTGTGCCCTAGAGGGTAAAATTCCAGCGCATGAGTTGCAGATTCCATTTAAATGGAAAGATGCTTTTGACAGGACAATTTTTGGTGGCAAATTAAGTCTCAGTAAGTTATAGATAATATAATTGTTGATAAAAATTATTATTATTATTATTATTATTATTATTATTATATTACTGAGTCATTTTAATGAATGAGTATTCTGTTCTTCATTTTTTCAGCTATCAGCACGCTGGCATATGAAAAATTATGTGTTCTATTCAATATTGCCGCATTGCAGAGCTCAGTTGCTGCTTCGCAATCACTTGACAGTGATGAGGGCTTAAAATTAGCAGCCAAATTATTTCAAGTAAATAATATAATTAATTCGAGCTTTATTTACTTTAAACAAATTTATAATTAATTAATTTTTGTAGCAAGCAGCGGGTATTTTCAACTATTTGAAAGGAAATGTCATGCTTGCTATTCAGCAAGAACCAACACCTGACATGAGTCCTGATACTTTAAGCGCTTTATCAGCTCTGATGATAGCGCAAGCTCAGGAAATTTTTGTCCACAAAGCCATCCATGACACCATGAAAGATGTTGTAATTGCGAAATTAGCGTCGCAAACAGAAGAGTATTATGCTGAAGCTTTGAAACTTTTTCAGAAAGAAATATTTCGATCTTTTTGGGACAAGGAATGGATTCCTTTGGTAAATTTTTTATAAATACCTCCGATCTGATTTTTGGTACAAAGATTTTATTAATTTTTTTAATTTGCAGATTACTGGTAAACAGTCTGGGTACCGTGCTATGGCTGAATTATATCAAGCTTCTATCTGCAAAAGTAAATCTGCGATTGGTGAAGAAATTTGTAGACTTGAAGTGAGTGAAATTATTTACGTAAATTATCAATTTATTGATTAAAAATGTATATTTAACTGTTTTGTTTAATTTTCAACAGTATGCCGTGGATTTGTTCAAAGCGGCTCAACAGAGATCAAATAAGCCTAATCTTTTTCAAGAATATGCTACCAAAGCTGAACGTCGATTGACAGTAATTAAAAAGGATAATGATTTTATTTATCACGAGCGTATTCCTGATATAAAAAGCTTGGAGCCGATTGGAAAGGCAAATATTGCCAAATTTTTGACCATGTCACAACCTATGAGCAGTAACTTTAAAGATTTGTTTGAAGATTTACTCCCAGTCGCTGTTCATCATGCTCTGTCATCCTATGAAATTCGAAGAAATGAATTGGTTAATACGGAAATTTCAAAGCTACGCGAAATGACTCAAGTATTGAATACTGTATTAGCTAGCTTGAATTTGCCTGCTGCTATTGAAGATACTAGTGGAACCGAAGTTCCTCAATCTTTATTGGACAAAGCTTCTTATGTCAGACAAGCCGGAGGGATTAGAGCCCTTGAAACTGCCATGAATGACCTACCAGATTTGCTCCAGCGCAACAGAGACATCTTAGATGAAGTAAATTTATTGATATTTTTATTTACACTTAAAAATCGGGAGATATTAAAATTTTTAATTTTTCAGGCTGAGAAAATGCTCAGAGAAGAGCGTGAATCCGACGATCAACTGAGAGAACAATTCAAAGAGCGTTGGACAAGAATACCGAGTAGTAAATTAACTGAACAACTTACGAGTAATGCTCAAAAATATCGCATAATTATTGATAATGCTATTTCGGCTGATAAAGTATGTATATATTTTTAAAATTAAATTTTAAAATGTTTAATAAAAAAATTTAATTGTTTTTTACCAGACTGTTCGCGAGAAATTTGAAACACACCGTGAAGGCATGGAGATTTTGAGTCTCGGTGAAAGTGAACTAGCATCAGCGATTCCATCCGGTTCAGCTGTTCAAGAAAGTGGCGTGGTTATTCAGCTGAGAAAATTAATGGAAGATGTAGAGACATTGAAAGCCGAGCGAGACGTTATTGAGAGTGAATTGAAGTCACCGACAGTGGATATGAAATCTACATTTCTTGCAGCTTTAGCTAAAGACGGTGCAATTGATGAACCAAATTTGTCGGTTGAACAAATTGGTAAAATTTATGGACCGCTGACTACTCAAGTTCGTGACAGTTCAGCTCGTCAGGAAAAACTCATCGCTGAGATTCAGTCAAGTCATGCTGCATTTACACGTGAACAAAGTGGGTCAGGTAGTTCACGCGAAGCCGTTTTATGTAAATTAGCTGCTGCGTATGATGCGTTCAAAGAACTCAAAAATAATTTACAAGAAGGAGCTAAATTTTACAATGACCTTACTCAGGTATTAACACTTACGGCCGTTTTATTGATATATATGATTTTAGAAAATTTTACTGAAAAAAATTTTTGTTTCAGCTACTGGTCGTTTTCCAAAATAAAATTTCCGACTTTTGCTTTGCTCGCAAAACCGAGAAAGAAGAATTAATGAAAGATTTAACGACTAATTTAAGTCACGCTGGTCCGGCTGCTACGCCTACGATTCCTTCTCATCATGGAGGTAATTATTAGCAGCTGACCAAAAATATAAAAACTCTTTATTTAATTATCGTAATAAAATTAACATGTATTCTATATAAAGCGGCTTCTGGACCAAGTTCAGCTCCTTCTGAAAGTGGCTCAACTCAATTGCCTTATCCGACCCAATATCAAGGAGGGATGCCTGTTCCTTACGGAGCATCCCCTGCTACGCCTTATCCTACTTATGTTCCTCCTCCGATGCCTCAAACATACAATCCGTATGCAACAATGCCATACCCTGGACAAGGTTTATATCACGTATATTTTTATTTTCAAATATCTCTAGGAATAAAATATTAATTTTAATGGTTGATTTGTTAGGTGCGTACAATTATCCGCAACAATTTCCACAACAGCCTAACTACGTCAATCATTATGCAACATTCCCGCGTTATGGTGCTCCACCACCTGGACAAAATCCATGGTAAAAAGCAAGATTTACCGTGGCACTCAAATGATAATAATAAAATAAAATTATATTGCTTTTTATCGCTTGGCATGTATAAAAATCAAATTTATCATGTACAAGCTTTGTGATTATTTTTTTAACTTTAAATGCCTGATAATTTTCATGTTTGTTATTATAAAATAATCAAAAAATTATTGTCAATATATTGATGAATATTTTTTAAAAACACTATTACTGTAACTATCTAATTGTTATCAAGTATTACAACAGACTAATGCTGATTGATACTAACATTTTTTTATTTAAGGCAGCATCATTGTTATTTGTTTAACTTTAGACTTTAAATAAAAAAAAAAAAATTGTAAATGCATTAACGTGATTTATTCCCATACTTATTTTTTTAATTAAGGTGAAAAAATAAGAGTAATAATAGCAAACAAAAAATTGCTAAGACTAATAATTTAAAAATATACGCACAGTGTGATTATACAAATAAATCGTGCTGATAGGTATTCTGATAACATATGAAGTAATATTTCAAGGAGAAAAAAAATAATGATTAATTACAATTAAAATTTTCAATATAGAAAGCTCTTAATTTCTCGAGTGACTACTAGAAGAAGATGACGAAGAGCTTCGTGAACGGCGTTGAAATTTCGGTTTTTCTGCAGAACTGGGAGTATGAGTTTTCTTATCTTTTGATTTGTTTTGAACTTCGACAGATGAACGTACTTTTGAGCAGCGCGGTGTTTCATCGTCGCTTCGTTTATCGCCACGACCTCTACGACTCCTGCGGTGATCATCGCGGTCCCGTGATCGACGTCTACTACGATCTCTAGAGTCTCTACGACCTCTGCTACGTCTGCTACGGTCTCTAGAGTTAAACCTACCCCGATATGGCCGATTGTAATCGCGATTTCTGTCTCTGCGTCTATAATCCACATTGTCTCTGTTTCTAAAATTCATACGGTAATTATTGTTACCGTTGTTATCTGGATTTCTGTAATGTTTCTCATCGTTTCTCCACCTCTCTTTGTCATCTTGCAGCTGATTGTCTTTTGAAAGCTTACTACGCTCAGAAACATGATTGTCATTATTAGAATCATCATTTTTGTTATTAATCTCTTCATCTTCTCCAGGGTTTTCTACAAATCTCCGTTTCTTTGGAATACTAAGAGCCGGATAATCATCTTCAGGCTTCTTATTATCTTTTTGATGCAGTTCATGCAATTTTACTGTACGATTTTGCGCTTGCTTCCAATGGGGTGGAGTAACACTTCGAGAACGACTTCGAGAAGGAGTTCGGTATCTCTGTCGAATAAATTTCATAGCAATAAATCTTTTTTGATATTTACTAAATAGTTATCTTATTTTAATAAAAAAAAAAATAAACTTACAAAGATTCCTCTACCCTTGAAAACTCGACCAGTTTTCCGTTGAATTCGCATACGATCTCGCCCACCAAAACGCTGTTGCCGATACTCTTTTTGATTAGAATTATTTGTAGGCCCAGCGCGAAACAGAAATTTATTAGCTGGCACTTCTGGTATTTCATCAGGATCTATCTTTGTAACTGATACCAACGGATGTACATTTTTATCATCCTCTTCCTCATGAGAATCATTCAATTCTCCATCTTCTGACTTAGCTCTTTTTTTACTATGTAAAAAAATAAAAATAATTATGAACAAAATAAATTTCAATACAAACTAAATAATTTACTTTTTCTTGTGTTTTTTACGCTTCTTCTTATCCGTTGATGAATCAGAGTCTGAATCGCTAGAACTTGAACCCTTCTCTCGTTTTTTTGCTAATAAACAAAAATAAACATATTATATATTTAATAAATTTTAATTGAAAAATATTATTTAAAAAAATTACATTTTGTTTTGACTTTCAAAACTAGTTCTCCACACTTGGCGATTTTGGCATCTTGGAGTGGTCGAGACATCCTATCAACTGGAAGACCCTCAATGTGTGAAACAACTTCTTGGCCGGAAACAACTTCTCCGAAAACCACATGGACACTAAAATAAAATAAATTTATTAAAAAAGCAATTCTTTGAGGTAAAAAAAAAAATTTTTTTTTTTTTTTTTTTTTTTTTTGTAAAAAAGTAACAAGATACTTACTTGTCGAGATGAGGCGCTGGTTGCGTTGTACTACAACAACAAAATATGATTAAGGAGATGAGTGATGCGGACTAAGAGCCGGCTTTCAGTGGACATTGTGTTGTAGTAGCAGAGACCCCTCGCTCACGACTACACAAAAATAGTGCTAGAATGATCAAGAGGAATTGTCTAGTCGGTGCGCCGTGAGATGTTAATACGTATCAAAGAATTTTAAATCCACCGACTATCCATTATGCCGTCAATTGATGCACGATTGAAGTGAAAAAACAAAAAAAAAATACACCATACTACAACGCAGATCATCATTAATCTGACAAATCAGATACTTGACTTTTTATATAATCTTTTGAGCTTTCGAGGAGTCAACGAGTTCACCTGGTCTACAATTACTTAAATTATTTCTTTTCCTGATAATATTTGATCTATTATTCAAGAAATCAGGACTGAAATAAATTCTTTAGGGAATTATAACTACATCCACATTGTGTCTGCTGAAATTATTTTTAGTTTTTGAGGATACTCACATAAAGAACTGGGAACCATTAGTATCTTTACCACGATTGGCCATCGAAAGAAGAAATGGCTTTGTATGATGTACAGAAAAGTTTTCATCTAAAATATATTATTCAATAATTAATTAATTCATTAATTTAATGAATAAATGAATAAACAAGTAAAAAAATTACCTGGAAAAGTCCCTCCGTAAATAGATTCTCCACCAGTACCATTACCCACTGAAAAATCACCGCCTTGAATCATAAAATCCTTGACTACGCGATGAAAAACTGTGCCCTTGTAGTGCAATGGTTTCCCGGTTGTCTTGCCAAGTCCCAATTCACCGCAACATAGTGCACGGAAATTTTCACATGTAAGTGGACAAATGTCCATGTACAATTCGAAAATAACTCGTCCCATAGGAAGGCCTCCGACTTCGATGTCGAAAAACACACGTGGATTTACTTTCATCCTGGACATTTTTTTTAAGATACCCACTGATTGAAGTTCACTTTTTTTAACCTCTAATGCAGGCTGCAACTGTTAACAACGTAAAAAATATATCTAAGTAAATTCTAATGGAGATAACTAATGCTTGTTTCTTACCTCAGTGTAATAAAAATTATACTCAGTATATAAAAATACTGCAAATCATAGCTTACGTAAAAATAATTGTGAATTTACTCTCTGAACTGATAAAAGATAATACTTTTTAGTGTACTATATCTATATTAGCAATCAGTAACAATGTATTTATGTATATATGATGTATATACACAAGTCACTTATTTAGCCCGGGTATTTAATATTGACTAGAGAGAGATGGCAAAATCGAATAATTACAACGCTGAGTTTAAATTTGTTTCTAACTCACAGATGTCAGTAGTTGATAGTTTTTTTAAAAACCGTTACAGCAATGGCTAGTGGGAAATTTAAAGATACATATATATTTATATACAAAGGAAAATGTGTGTATCAAGATAACACTGAAGTTACCGAAAAATTGACAGTCGATCTATAAAAAAAAGAACGGTTGACAACAAAAAACTGGTAAATATCATGACATAATTAAACTTTTAATGAATTTGTCTAAAAATAGTCAATTTTCTTGTTTAAATAATTTAATAAATAATATATTATTTATTTTTAATTATTTTTTAGTAATTTTCATGGCTTACCGCTCAAGTCGCCAAATATTGGCTTCAAGTGACGACGATTCTGACAATGATTGGGATAAAAGTCCTAAAAGCAAAAAAAGACGTTTTAATCAAGTGACACAAATTATTACAGCTAATGAGGATGATGATATGTACGTTTTTTTTTATATTATTTCTTTAAATTTTATTTTATTTATTAATTTTAACTTGTTAATTTTCTTTATAGTGATGATCCTTCGGAAGAAGAAGATGAGGAGCTTAATAACAGCAATCGTATGACACCTAGTATCGAAAAAGCTATTCAGAGAAGTATATCGAAGCTTAGTCAGGAAAATTTAAACTTGGATGCTGAAGATGGCAAGGACGAAAAAACATCGCTGGTTGACCACAATTATTGTGTCTCTAAGAGTCCGGTTTTGTTTGAAGATGATGGTAAGATTAATTTTTAATAATTTTAATATTATGACACTGAAATCATCAGACATTTGACAATTTTTTTTTTAATTTTGATAAAAAATTAATTATAAAAAAAAAAATTAATTTTTAAAAAGCTTGCTCTTGTAATTTTTTTAATTTTTAGGTATAGGATTTCTTAATTAAAATATTTTCATTGTAATTTAGTTGTTATAAAGATGAAAAAAAATTGACAGATGTCTGTTAACTTCAGGATCATATTTTAATAATTATTTATCAATTTTTAATATAAGTGGTGTAATTTTTTTTCAAAAGATCCATACCATGGATATCCTCAAGAAGAAACTATTGATGCAGAAGATAATCCCAGAAGTTTAAATGGAGAGTGTCTAAACAATCCTAATGGTAGTATTGATGAAGGACCGATTGATATTGATGTTTTGGAAGAATCAAGTGATTTGAATCGTTTGAATGGCGAAGCTATTGATAATTCTTTAAAAGAGTCTTTTGAGGTACCACGTTTAGCTACAAACCATATTGATGAGACTGAAGCGACTGATGACACTGATTGCCCACCAAAAATAAAAGATGTTGAAACAACACACTATAAGGTTTCTGAAGAAGCTGCATTTAAGCAAGCAGTTGCGAATAATTTTAAAATACTTCAAGTTATGGTTTGTTATTGAATATTTCTTTAAGTTCTAGAAAATATGGATAATAATTGCTTAAATATCTATGGATTATTTATTTTTTTTTTTTCAGCTCGTTCGCACCGACGAAAAAGATACTCCTGTTGACAACGGTATTGAGGAAAAACTAGAGGAAAATAATAATATAAAGTGGTCTGAAAGTAAGGACAATGGTCAAGTCATAAGGAAATTTAAGCTGATTGAACGAAGATCCTCCGACGCGTCTTATAAATCATCGGAAGGCTCTGTAATCTCGGGATCACCTCAAGATGCAATAACTCATTACAAAATATTAAACAGTCAGGAAAAAATAATTACTGTTCAATCCAGCTGGAAAGATTGTGATCTAAAAATAAATAAAGATGATCAAAGTTTTACCGAAAGTTCTAAATCACCGAACAATGATTCTTTATTATCTACTTTAGTAAAAGTCGAAATGAAAAGCGACGATTCACAGGATGAAGATGAAGATGAAAGCGTTTCGACGGACGATTCCTTTGAATATAGAGTAGAAGAAGAAAAAGAAGCTTTAGAAGTTAAGCCTAAGATTAATATCAAACCAACATCTGACCATTCAATCAGAGATTTAGGAAAAAAAGCTCTACAAACGTTCAAAGAGCAACAATCACTTACCGTTGAGCGGTTACAAGATCTCCATGGATCTTTGATCTCTCGCCCAACTGAAGCTTCCCAAGAAGAAAACCCCGCGGGGCTGAATACCGATCTTATGCCTCATCAACAACACGCACTAGCTTGGTTGCTGTGGAGAGAACAACAGAAACCTCCTGGTGGAGTTTTAGCCGACGAAATGGGACTCGGTAAGACACTTACAATGATTTCGTTGGTGCTGAAGACGCTGCCAGAGTTTCAGAAAAAACAGGTTGAAGACAGCTCGCATAGATTTAGACTGCTCAAGTATTTTGGAGGAACTCTCGTTGTTTGTCCGGCTTCATTGGTCGCGCAATGGGCTCAAGAAATTAGGAAACATTGCAAAAAAAAGCAGCTTACTTACCAAATCTACCATGGACCCAACCGAGAATCTAATATTAAACGACTAGTGAGAAATGACATTATTATTACGACTTACAAGCTATTGAGTCGCGAGACTACTAACAGGGGAATTAGTAATTTGCTCTTCAAAGTTCATTGGGAGCGTGTGATACTGGACGAAGCCCACGTTGTTCGAAATCACAAGAGCCAAATGTGTGATGCTGTCTGTCGTTTGACAGCAAATAAACGTTGGGCCATTACAGGTACTCCGATACACAACAAACAAATGGATCTTTATGCAATTTTAAAATTCCTGAGGTGTTCGCCGTTCGATGACCTCAGGATCTGGAAACGTTGGGTTGACAACAAAGATGATGCGGGACATCAACGACTCACTACTGTCATGAAGACACTGATGTTACGACGTACGAAGCAAGAATTGATGAATAAAGGTCAGATGAAACCTTTAACGACAAAAGTTTACAACACAATCCGCGTTACTTTGGACTCTGACGAACGACTTGTTTATGAAAAAATTTTAATGTATTCACGTACTCTGTTTGCTCAATTTTTGCATCAACGATCCGAGAAACAGTCTATGTTTGAAATGGGCGCTAGCTACGATCACCGACGTCCGACTAATTCTCCTTATATTGCGGGATTCAACAAAGCTCAGCGGCAATTATTAGCTCAGCATGCCGATGTTCAAAGTCATGAAATTTTAGTCCTGCTTTTGAGACTTAGACAAATTTGCTGTCACCCGTCGTTGATTCACTCAATGTTGGATCAACAGGATTTGAATCAGCAAAATTTAGAGGATGGTGCAATCAATTTTCAGCTGTTGAATCAGATAAACAATGTTAACTTGAAAGACAACACTGACAAATGTGACATCGATGATGACGACGATGAAGAGAGTGGAGTCAGCGAACGAGTTATTGAAAATTTATTGACCAAAGATAACCCTGTATTTGACACTGAACGCCAAAGTGCTAAATTAAGATCTGTTATAAGTACTATTAAGTCTATATTAGCAAAGAAAGAAAAAGTTATCGTCGTGTCTCAGTGGGTAGGTTACTTACAAATTGTAGCGGAGAGTTTGAAGTCTATTAAAGGTGCTACGTATAAATTGTACATTGGAAGTACTACTATTAAAAATCGAGAGAAAATAATCGATTTGTTCAATGAAGAAGATCAAGACCCACAAATTCTTCTTCTGTCATTAAATGCCGGAGGTGTTGGATTGAATCTTATGGGAGGAAATCACCTGATGCTCATTGACATACATTGGAATCCTCAATTGGAACTCCAAGCGCAGGATCGTATTCACCGATTCGGGCAAAAAAGAAACGTATTTATCTACAAGTTTATCTGCTGTGACACCATCGAAGAAAGGATTGAAAAACTTCAAGAAAAGAAGTTGAAAATTTCTGGTGAAATTTTAAGTGGTAGTGGTAAGGTTAGCACCAAATTAACCCTCGATGATCTGCGATCTCTTTTTAATATATAATTATAAGCAGTCCTAATTTTAAATTAATTTATTACGTGTTTTTTTTTTTTAAATAATTTTAATACGTACATAACTTATGGCTTTATGTATAAGTTATTAATAATTAATAATATTTATAATGAATTTAATTAAAGTATAAGTACTTTAAGCAATATTAAATGAATTAATGTTATTTAATACATTGTTATAACATTTAAAAACTTGTAATAGTTATTATAAAAATAATTGTTGAGATTAATAAAAAAATTTTATTTTAATTTACCCGCTACTTTTTTTTTTCTCAATTCGTAAGTTGTAGATGGCGATACAAGATGAAATTTGAATGTGCAGTTGCGCTACCAGTTGCTACACAACCGTTAAAACATGTGAGTAACAGACATAAAGCGTCATTTGTATATAAATCAAAACGATCCGAATGTTTTTAATTCTCCAGCAAAATTTTTTTATTTTTATTTTAAACTCTGTCTTGCAATAATCATCAGTGATTCAGTTTTGAAAAAAAATCATCACGATGGATTCTGAGGATGATTCAGTCGTCGTTTATGATTCTGATGAGGAAAAAGCCAATGTTTCAAAGAATCGTTCTCGGTCTGACAAAACTAAAAAAAATTACAGTAACAATTTTATTCAAGAGACCGACGATGAGAGGTGACATACTCATGGTTGATATTTTTTTATTTTTAATTATTTGTTTTTAAATATTTTATTTATTTACAGCGAAACTAGTAGCAGTTATGCTGGATCATTTAAAGACGATAATATCAGTCGAAAATATGACAATGGTAAAAGGTCATGTACTGAAAAGCATGAGTGAGTAATCAGTGTCCATTTTTTTAATATTTATTTGTATGAAAATTAATTTAGCAGATATTTATTAAATTTGAATAATTTTTTTAACAAACAAATTATGGCAAAAAAAATGAAAACGAAATAATTGACATGTTATAACAAATTTGTTTGTAAAAAAAAATTAAAAAATTATCAAGTGATTGCCAACTTTAATGTCATTTTATTTGTTCATTTGTAATAATGATTGCTGATTTTAGTGAATCAAAGTGGAACCATAATGACACAATAGATGGCTCGATAAAAAGTAAATTGGCCGATAGTACAAAGGATCACAGTATTCAAAATTTGGATGAAACATATGATAGGTAAAAATTCTAATCCATTGTATATTTATTTCTAGACACCTTTAATATTTAAACATTATTATACACAGTGAAAAAGAGAACAGTTTCGGTGTAAGACAAAAAAGCAGCGATTCAATCAATAAACATGGTAACAAGATAAAAAACAGATCAATAGAGTTTACAGTAACCGATAAAAATTCTGTATCGTTACAAAAATCTTATAATGACAGTCACTCAAGTAATGAACATTCAGGAATATATCGTGACGTCATGGATAAACACAAAATTATGTCAGATTTTGAGGATAAGTAAATGATTTATGTTTTAACCATACCTTTTTTTTTCTACAGCTATTGTTAATTCTTTAGTGAATTACACAGAAAAGTAAAATTAAAAAAAAATTGCAGTTTTTCAGAAAATGATGAAGTAATGGTTGAGTCTAATCACAGTGACTTTGAAGAAAGTTTCATTGGAATCCAGAAAAAGTCTGTCAATAGAAAGATGAATAGAATTCTCTCAGATTCAGAGGAAGATGAGTAAGCAGAAATTGTTTATTGTATTTTTATTAAAAATATTGTATTGGATGGATTATTTTATCAAACTTGTTTTCAGAATTTTGGATATTGATGGTGAAAATAAGGATTCAGGAAGAATGACCCCAAGTATTAAGAAAGCAATCCGACGAAGTATTTTCAATATGAGTCGAGTATCTACATCAGAACCTGAAGAAGATGATTTAGAAGACGATGAAGAAGAAACTGATAACGTTGAAAATGAAAGCGGAATTCATCGTTTAGATAAAAAGGTTCATTCGTTCAGTGATGAAGAAAGTAGTGAAAATGAAAATGAAATTAATCGTTCTGAAAAAATGGTTCAGCCAGATTCAGATGACGTGAATGATAACGATAAGTATAAAAGCAAAAAGAAAAGAAGTAGTATTATAATGAGTGATTATGGCGAAGAAAATTTTGATGATCGAGATAATCAAAATGCAAAACAAGGAAATAATAGTGATTCCAGTAAAATATCATATGAAAGTCTTTGTTCAATTAACGACTTGGAAAAATCTACTGATTTACAAAAAGATCAAAACAGTAGCTTGTCCAGTGTAGAAATTACTGATGGAAAAAAAAGTACAAGGTCTGATCTTAATCGCTCTGCAAATTTATCAAGAGGAAGAGCTAGTCACAATTACAGCATTCATGAAGATCATAGTATACATCAAGAACGTACATCAAATAGCATTATCGATATTGATTCTGGTAATTGAAAATTTTTATACCTAATAATAATAATGAACTTTTCACATTAGTTTATTAATAAATTTTTTTTTTTAAATTAGCTACGAGTACCGAAGATGAACGTGAAACTCAGTCGAAAAAGAATTTATCCGAGTTGAATGTAAATGAGTTAAAAAAGCTAATTCAAGGTCTGAGAGACGAGGCTGAGCGAGCAAAGGTATTTTTTATTTAAATACAGATTACTATTAACTATTAAATCTGATTAATTTAAATGAAAAAAATTAATATAAAAAATATTTTTTAGACTTTCTTGAGGGAAGGTGATGTGAAGCTTCTTCCCGACGGTGGAGAGAATTTAAAGTTGTTAATTATTAAAAATTCTAAAAAAATAAAACAATATCAAGAACAACTCAATGAAATTCAACCACCGGAAAAAAGTGACTCCAGTGTCATATCACTTGATCAGAGTTCTGACGCTTCCTTTCATCATCATAAAACTATTAATGATTCCGACTACGAACCTAATGATAGTTACATATCACCTAAGAAAATTAGTCAAAAGTTTAATCGAACGCAAATGATGAAACCGACTCTGGAAACCGACTTAGAAGGTTTAGGAAAAAAAGCTCTTGAAACATTCAAAAACGAACAGGCGTTAACAGTCGAACGTCTAGAGCATTTCCATGGATCTCTTCTATCCCGACCTACAGAAAATGAGCGCGCCGAAGATCCTAGAGGACTTGTAGTCTCTCTCATGCCTCATCAACAACACGCCTTGGCTTGGTTAATGTGGCGTGAACAACAAAAGCCACGTGGGGGTGTTCTCGCCGATGATATGGGTCTTGGTAAGACACTTACTATGATATCATTAGTGATAAAAACTTTATCAGAAGATTCAAGTGACGATGAGCGCGATGATGATGATGATGATGATGGATGGATGGGCAAAGGCAGACAAAATGAGCATCGAGGAGGAACCCTGGTTGTGTGTCCTGCTTCACTAATTAACCAATGGAAAAGTGAAGTTGACAATCGTTGTAAACGCGGAGTTCTCGCTGTTGAAGTTTACCATGGTAACAATCGTGAAAAAGTAGCTCGGCGCCTCGCTCGTAACGATATGGTCATCACAACGTATAATTTAGTGTCACGTGAATCTAAGAATAATGGACAAATATTTAAAATCCGATGGAATCGTGTTATTTTAGATGAAGCTCACTGCATTCGCAATCACAAAAGCCAATCTTGCAACGCTGTTTGTCAACTTAAGGCTACCAAGCGTTGGGCACTTACAGGTACGCCTATTCATAACAAAGAAATGGACATATATGCGATTCTTAAATTCTTGCAATGCTCGCCTTTCGATGATTTACGTGTATGGAAGCGTTGGGTAGAAAATAAAAGTATTACTGGCGTCGAAAGACTCGCTACGGTGATGAAAACATTGATGCTTCGTCGAACAAAACAAGAATTAATTTCAAAAGGCGAGGTTGAAACTCTACCTGAAAAACACCTTGATATTATTAAAGTTACTCTAGATAAAGATGAACGCTTGGTGTACGATAAAGTTATGATGCATTCTAAAACAATATTCGCTCAATTTTTGCATCAGCGAGCTGAAAAAGAAACTCTTCAAGGAATGGGAGCTAATCCTTTAGCTGTAGATTATCGCAATACAAAATTCAGTAAAGCACAACAACAACTACTAGCTCACCACGCAAATGACGTAAAGTCGCATCAAATTTTAGTTTTGCTTCTCAGGCTTCGTCAGATTTGTTGTCAGCCCGCATTGATTCACAAAATGCTTGATCAAGAAGAGATGGAAATGAACGGATTGGAAAATGATGTACTTACTGCCAAAATGATGAAAATGAATATTTCGATTAGTACTTCAGAACACGGCGACGACGACGACGATGATGATGATGATGATGAAGAAGAAGAAATTGGAGTGGATCAGCGCATCACTGAAAATTTGTTGACTTCTGACAACCCAGTATTTGATGTTTCTCGAAAGAGCTCCAAGTTACAAGTCATTATTGACATTGTTCGCGACATATTAGAGAAAAATGAAAAAATGATTATTGTATCACAATGGACATCATATCTCAACATAATTGGTGAATGTTTACGTAAAATACCAGGTGCTACTTTTGACATGTTTACTGGACAAGTTGCTGTCAAAAATCGTCAAGCGATTGTCGATTCTTTCAATTTGAAGAAAAAACCTCAAATTTTACTACTGTCACTTTCCGCGGGCGGTGTTGGGTTGAATCTCGTAGGAGGGAATCACTTGATTCTCGTCGACATACACTGGAATCCTCAATTAGAGTCTCAGGCTCAAGACCGTATTTATAGATTTGGCCAGAAGAAAAATGTTCATATTTATAAAATTCTTTGCTCCGATACCATTGAAGAGAGAATACAGTTGTTGCAAGAAAAAAAAATGGCTATCGCTGCATCGGTGATTGATGGTACTGGAAAAGTTTCCTCGAAACTTTCTCTTCAAGATTTGAAATCGCTTTTTGATATGTAAATATTTTATCTATACTTTAAACGACAAAAAATCTATTAAAAATTCTATTATATTAGTCGATAGTTTGGTATTTTTAATTAAGTAAATATCCAAATACTATAATTTTTATTTTAGTTTACGTAAAAAAAACGATGTTATAAATAGATGTTTATTATCTCAATAATTATTACATTACAATTAAACTTATAAACTATTTTTATACATCTAGCTCGGTTTTACTCGATGTATACTATTCCAAACACCATATGAGAAGTATATCATTAAACCTGATTTAAAATAAATAAGTTTTCATTAAATAAAGTGGTGACAGTGAATTATTATTATTATTATTATAATTAATTTTTTATACAAACCAATAACCATCCAAATCGAAAATCTAACCCACGTCATAATATCTAACATCATCATCAAGTGTACATTGACAAGTATACTGAAAGCAGGTAAAAATGGAACGAGAGGAACCTAAAAAATTTATTTTTATTAAAAAATTTGATAATATATTTTCAAAACGTTGAACTTACTGAGAATGTTAATTTTCTTCCTGATACTGGTTGATGATAAATAAATGTAAGAGTAGCAATGAGAAGAAATATTAAAATAACGAGTATCGAAATAATCCAAACCTGTCCTTCGGATATTTGTTCAATAAAAAATTTAATAATACTCGTAACACCAAAGCAAAGAATAACTGTAACAAATATTTATTATTATTTTATCAATAAATATTCTATTTAAATAACAATACTTACAATAGATAAACACAAGAGTAGACACAATTTGTGAGGTGAGTTTTGTTGACATGTTAATATTATTAGCATTTATAAATTGCATTGCGATGAATCTAAATGTTCTTGGATCTCTATCTACTTTCTTTTCATAAGCTTCACTTTCTTCATACCTAATAATTATTAAGTTTTTATAAATATCTTTCTTTGAAGATGATGAAAATTAAAATTACCGTAAAATAAGAACACATGCTGCAACTATTGAGTATGCAAGTAAAGTACCAATACTCATCATCTTCACGAGCTGTTCCAAGTCGAAAACCGCAGCAAGAACACCTGATTAATTAATTAATTAATTAATTAATTACATATTATTACTATCCTGGTTTATTGAAGAATTATAAATAAATATTTAAATTATTTACCAGTTAAAAATCCAGCTGAAAGTGTACCGTACATTGGAGTATGGAAACGCGAACTGACTCTGCCCATCCATTTAAAAATTAAACCATCAGAAGCCATCGCATAAATTACCCTCGGGAGTGGAAACATTGCACCTAGTAAGCTATTCATAATTAAAAATTAAAAAACACTGACATTAGAAATTTTTTTGGAATTTTATAGCAATGAAATTATTGTAAAAAAAATTTGATGAAGAAATCCACACGTGAAAATTAAGAAAAAATTATTAGTGTGAATTTCTTAAAGCATTCTTTTTACTGTTATTGATTTGTTATAAAAATTAAAAGGATTGACAGTAGTTGTCAGCTAATTTCAGTACCATAAATTTAATTAATAAAAATCAGTAAAATTGATATAAAATTAAAAATTTTTTCATGATTACCTGGAACATAGACCGCAGATGGCACCTATAGACACTAACCACTTAGCCCAGTTCCAGCCGATTACATCAAACAGATGTGGAAATGGAGCCTTGGGATCTTGCTCGTAATAAGGAAGAACTGTCGTCAGAACAGCAGAAACTCCAAAGTACGCGAGGAAGACAACAGTGAGAGAGGCGACGATAGCAATGGGAATAGACTTTTTAGGATTTTTGGCTTCCTCTCCAGCAGTTGCAACACAGTCGAAACCAATAAATCCATAAAAACATGAAGCTGCTCCTTTTATTATTCCTTCAATTCCGTAAGGCATAAAACCTCCAGTTCCACGTGGACCGCAAGGTTCTTTCTTGCAACCGGTATCAATTTTCCAGTTGTCAACGTTTGCTGTTATTTTTTAAAAATTTATTAAAACAAACTCTAGTAAATATATTTACTACTAAAAAACCAACCTTTAACAGATCCAGCGCAAACGACAAATACAACAACTCCGAGATTGACTAGAGTGAAGAAATTATTCGCAAGCGATGATTCTTTAGCTCCAAATGCCAAAGCAACTGAAAAGTTAAGTAATTATTTAACAAAAGATTTATTAAAATTAAAAATACTGAAATTAAGAGACATCTGATAATTTCAAAAATTTTTTTAACAAATAAATTTTATCTTTAGATGATCTAAAAAATTATAAATGCAATTTTATAAAAATAATTGTTTAAAATTATGATACTAAAATTAGCCAACGTTTGAAAATTTTTGTATTTTTTTCAACAATTTAATTGCAAGTGAAAAGATACTTAAAAAAAAATTGCACGCATAATTTTTTAAATCTTCTACATGTGAACTTTTTTCTTTTAATTTTTTCAATAAAAAAAATTCTAAAAATTTCAAAATGTGGACTAATTTAATTTTCGTTCTAAAATAAATTAATTTATAAAGAAAAATCAACAAATTGTCAGGTGTCTGATAATTTTAGTGTCATTTAAATTATATTCGATACTTTTGTAATTACCAGAGAATGCAATTGTTATTCCAAATGCAAAAAAATCGAGATAAGGAGAGAAATTAGCATTATCAAAGTGAGCTGCCGATTCAAAAGCTGTTCGCATTGAATTATTAAACAAAGCGTCGACATAAGTACTGAGCCCTCGGACAACACTTGCAGAACCAATTACATACTCCAAAATAAGGGTCCAACCGATTAAGAAGGCGGTAAATTCGCCCATTGTAACGTAACTGTAAACATAAGCTGAACCGGCTTTTGGTACTCTGGCACCGAATTCTGCATAGCAAAGACCTATTGACATAATTAATAGTATTTTTATTTTTTTTTTTTTTAGGTATGAAAATTTAATAAAGTACCTGCGAACATAGAAGCTACGGCAGCGATGGCAAAAGAAATTACTACGGCCGGGCCAGCTAAATTTTTAGCAACAGATCCTGCGAGCACGTAAACACCAACACCAAGAGTCGATCCAATTCCCAAAGCCGTGAGGTCTAATGTTGAAAGACATCTAGCTAAACCTGACTCTGTAGGTGAAGATATTAATTTCTTCCTTGTGAACGCATTTAGAATAGACTCCAACTGAAGTTTTTTCATGGTCTCTATGATCTGGAATTTTATTTACAAATGAAAAAGATATTACTATACAATTTAAATTATTATATTAATAATTACATACAATAAAAGTTTATCCATGTTAATTTATAAAACAAAAAAAAAATTGTATTAACAATGCAACGATAAGAAGACAACAAATGACAATGATCTCGTTGTAAGTGCGAGTACGTTTTTAAATTAACTCGGTCGTTCAACATTTAGTAGAATCAATTGATCAAGAAGAATTCTTTCTACTTTTAGGTCACCAATGATAGATCAGTAGCATTCCAGTTTGCTACTGCTATTTACTGGTATATAAATTTTAATTGAAATCTAAAATCTCTATAACTTAAATGTACTTTTAAAATACTTTTACTTACCTAAAACTTGAACTTTTACTTTACTCCTTAGAAATTGAAGTAACAGTACTATTTATTACTTCAATACGGGACAGATAAAAATGATATTATTCTTTACAATAAATCTGATTATCTTGGTTTAATGATTCAATTTCGTAATTCTTATCTAAAGCCAGTACAGGATTTAATGATAACACGATAAAATTAAATGTAACTTGAATTACAATCGAGTTTCTTTTTTAAATTACCATTGACGAGTGACTTTCATTTTCTTAAAAATATATTTATTTTATTTTATTATAATGGACGGATTTATTAATACAATCATTTACATAAAATTATCATTTTATATCTATAACAATATTAAAAGTAAACATTTAAAAAATTGTTTTTTGATAAATAAAAATTATTTTATAAAAATTTAATCTAAGTAAATAATTTTCTGTTATTTGCATAGGCCTTTTAAAGACTTATCTAATTGATAAAAATAATAATAAAAATATGAATTAAATATTTTTGTAAAATTTTAAGGCAGTTAATCGTGTAAATAAATTACTTTGATCGAAATTCTATAATGGACGGAATAATCTCCAAACTACTGACTATAACGCCAGACTTAAATTACTTTATTATTTACTAAATTATTTTAAAACTCCATAAAGTCCTGATAGCACTGTCGTTAGCAGACAACTTATAGAGATGCTGTGACTTTTTGCTGATGACTGAAAAAAAAAAAACAACAAACAATTCATTTATTAATTGAAGATTAAAAAGTAATTATGAGAAACTTTAAATAAAGTCAAATACATACAAAAATAAAGTAATTACAACGATCTCCTCTACAGCAATCGGAGCACTTCCAATCTTGGTACCACACATAAGTACAATCTTTCATATTTTTTTGTTTTTGTTCCAAACATTTTTTATGTGGCATACATCGTTTAGAGATGTAATATTGTTTTGGAGCACCCTCGGACCAGTAAGGCAAGCCTAAAATAAAATTATTAAATATCGTTAGTCATTAACAAGTCTACTCCAAATGAAATTCTGTGATTAAATAAATAATAAAATAACATACTTCCCCATCTGACTTCAGTATAACAAGAATCTTCCTCGTGCTCGCAGTTTCTTATTGAGTTTAAACATTTTTCTTTATTACCCTCTTGATTATCACAAACATAACACTCTAGGGCGTTGCCTAAAACATAACACAATCATTCAATGATTCATGTTGTTAACCATCAAAATTAATTGTTAAAATTATTCATATAAAAAAAATTAATAATAAAAATATTCTTACCCAGTGATAATGAAGATATTATAAGTAACAGTGTTATAAATTTTTGCTTCATTTTTTTATCATAAATTATTGTTTGGGAATTTCAACAATAACATCCAGTTTGAAGGATAATATTTACTTAGATCTAGGCTAATGACAACTTACTGCAATGTGTTTTGTGTTGAATGAGTTTAGTCTACTGCGACGTATCGTATAATGTGTACGTCAAAAAACTACAGTGTGTACCTTGCGAGTGGGAGTGCTGGAAAAAAAGCTAAGGTGAATTTGTAATGAGCGATAGTAGCAGTTAAATAATAATACCGTTTATAAAACAAAGAAAAAAAAAAGAGCGAAATTGTGTACACTCCTATATACTCCCTATTCTGTTAAAAAAATCAATTCTAAATAGATAAATTAGCGGCCTTGACAATCTCCACAAGCTGATTCATCATCATTCCCGCTGGAACATCCGGATTGTCACTTTATATTTAGCATTTTTATAACGCTGTCAATATGGTAAATTAATTTTATTATTTTATAAATTTTATTCGCCTACTGTTAACAATCACCCAGTTTATTGTTATTAATTGTTGTTTGTTTTTTTATAAGACTTCACAAAGCACCTGTGACATTGAAGATGAAGTAAGGAAGGCCATGAGAGATTTTAGATTCCGCAAAAGCAAAAAAAATGCAGCATTGATAATAAAAGTTAATCGTGAAAAACAGACTGTTTGTTTGGATCAACTTATTGAGGTAAATTTATTATTTACAAGAATTATTTTTAATTTTTTTTTTTTTTTATTAATTGGTAATATTTTTCAGGATGTTGAAATTGATGAATTACAAGAGATAATTCCGAGCCATGAGCCTCGATACATTGTGTACTCGTATAAAATGGAGCACGCTGATGGTCGGATATCTTATCCAATGTGTTTCATATTTTATACTCCGCGAGACATTCAGATGGATCTACAAGTACTTTATGCAACCATGAAGCTCGTACTCCAAAAAGAAGTTGAGTTGACCAAATGCTTTGAAGTAAGAGAGCTAGAGGAGCTCACTGAGGAATGGCTTAAAGAAAATTTATCTAAGTAATATAATTGTTAATTTTTATACGAAAAAAATATTCTAAATATTATCCGACTGCCAAAACTTGTCGATATTTAAGAAAACTTATTCAACAACTCACAACAGTTTATTATAATTTTATAATGACATTTATTGATATTTCCTTTTTTAAACAGTATTTTGAAAAAAAAATTTTTCATGACTAAACTTTTGATACGATATTTTGAAATTTGATAATTGTATTTTAATTAGTGAAATATTTTTTATGTAAAAGAATTTTTAAAAAACTAGTCAATTTGATATTTGAAATTATATACCAAATATTTGAGAGGTGGTGGGAATACATAATATTAAATAATTGTTTTTGTACATTTTTTAATATTATCATTCATCAATAATATTAATTATAAAAGTATTTCTGCTTATCAAATAAATAAAACTAGAATAAATTTTGCTGTTACGACGGAGTATAACATAAATCTAAAGCTTCAATTCAAATCAAACGACAAAAAAAAAAATGAATTGCAAATTAATGACTAGAATTACGATGATGTTTATGTATTGATAGAGTAAAAAATCTGTACATCATTAATTATTACAATTACAATAGAAAATCTCTTGAATTCATAACCATGTATACGATTATTTAATTATTACCTGCCCAGATTTCTACATGCGAATGATAAAATAACTTTAGGCTTTACATTAAATCTGCATTAAAATTTGTTCGATTAGTAAAAATAATTAAATTTAAGGCAAAAGTTACTGCTTATGCATTGAAACAATCTCGAGGAGTGGCACTATGGTCGACTAATAAACCAGTAAGGGCAAGGCTTTGGAAGATTCATAATTTAGATGCCCTTAATATTTATTTTTTGCCATCTTAAGTAATAAATAATATAAAAATTATAGTATTCGTTGGCAGCTTGAGAGTCATTTAATGAATGAGTGATGTAATCATTCTGAAAAATTAAAATAACTTATTAAACTTCAGAGAATTTGTAAAAATTTTTTAGATGTCATCATTTAGATAAACTTACCCGTATAAATAATAGAAGAAACAAAATAGATAAAATCCTAGTTTAATCCATCCTTCCCTTTGACATCTTGCCAAAACATTGGCATTTAAAATACTAGTAGCGTCGTATAAGCCAGGACCTGACATCACCGGCCTCGTCAAGTATCTATTTATGTGATACGCTATCAACGGAGCGTTTATTAAAATTGAGAACCATTCTCCACTTATTAAAAATAAGAAATTTATCAGCAGATGCAGCCCATACTCGAAAGGTACCAGCTAAAAAATAATATTCATTTTTATCTTATCTTTAAGCAGAGTAAGCTTGTTAATTATAATAAAAATTATTAACATACTGGATTGAGACTATTGCACTGCTCAATGGGATTTTTATACTCCGTTTTTAATTCATCAAATGCAATCACCTAAAATTATAAATTATCATCAATTTTAATGAAATGTATTTAAATTTGAAATTTTTAAAAGTCATCAATGAAAGGTTATAAAAAAAATATTCACTGAAAACATTAAAATTTTAATTTGGTTTAATTTTATAAATTATATTAATTATAGATACTTACGTGGAAAATAACGAAAAATATAAGAAATGCATCAACAATCAGTGAAATAATATATGAAAAAGCAGCTAAACTAAACGCCATTGTTATGACACTTATTTACTTATTTATTTGTGAATCATGCGTACAATTAACTTCCGATATCAGTGTGTATCTTAAAATTTTCATTTAAATAAATTTATTAATAATTTTTTTAACATTTATTTTGGCTTCCGCAGTACTTCCGCCCTGGCCGCCATTAAATTTGCACACCTGTCGTTGTTTCAGAACTTTTCCACAAAATATAGTATTTAAACTCGTTTTTTAATAAAAAAAAAAATTTTTTTTAGCTTTTAAATAATTATTTAAATTATATAAATTTAAAAATCTTGTTCTTTAATATTTATTATTATTCGTAAAAATAACGAATTTAACAAAATACAATTATAGGCGTCAGCACCTCCTTCCGGATTAGTAAAGACCAACGTCGACAAAACTCGACGCCCGCCATTACAGCTCTTGCTTCTCGGCGTCTTGCTTGCAGTCCGGCTTTTCTCACGTACAAGTAAGTTTGCAATCTTATTACTTTAATTATTTAAATAACCTATCAGTATTTAAATTATACTTCATATTTATACTAAATAATCTTCCTTATTATTGTATATTATTTGATTTATTATAAAAAAAAAATTATTTTAGTATTGGTGCGGTAAATTTATTCGCGGTGAAAAAGACGCCGATAGTCTGAAATTTTCATTTTAGAGTACCAAGCTAATATTAGTTTATTCCATAAATAAAATTGTCCTATTTTTTTACAACTAATTCATTAAGAAATTTGTCGATTGATCGGGAAAAAAAACGTGGATACGAAAGAGCTATTGTACGACCATTAATATTTCTGTGTCGCGAAAATGGCGGCGGGATCCTTTGTGTATTGAACTGTAGTAGCGTGGGTAGGAGTTGAAAATTAATTTATTAAACGTTTATTTTTTTTTTAATTTTATTAGATATAACCTCATAAAAACTTATCTACAATCATGGCTGATAACGATGATCTTTTGGACTACGAAGACGAGGAACAGACCGAGGCGGTAGTCGACGGAAGTGGAGATGCACCGGCCAAAAAAGAAGTCAAGGGTACCTACGTTTCTATTCACAGCAGTGGTTTCAGAGATTTCCTGCTAAAACCAGAAATTCTCAGAGCTATTGTTGATTGCGGTTTCGAGCATCCATCCGAAGGTAATAATTTATTTATCATTTTTATTTATTTTATTTTATTTTATTTTATTTTTTTTTTTTTTTTTTTTTTT